CCGGGGGTGTACCACATGCGGCCGAACCACCCATTTCAACACACCTCTCGCACGCTTCGTGGCCCCATGTTGATCTCCTCCGGAGGCCCCAGCGCCAAGGCCCGCATGCGTCGCTTCGTGGCCCCATAGAGAGCTCCACCGAAGGCCCCAGTGACAGCGCCCGCATGGCGGCCCAGCCCCATTTCGGCGCACCCCTCACACGCTTCATGGCCTCTAGTGGGCTCTGTATGAAGCACCAGTGGCAGCGCCCGCATGGCTGCCCCGCCCCATTTCGGCACATCCTTCAAACAAGTCGTGGCCTCTTTCAGGAAATCCACCGAAGGCAATACTCACAACGACGGCACTCGCAACTGCAAGTGGTTGGGTCCGTCGCAAGCCTACTATTGAAATCTGCCACCCCTGGAAAGATCACGACCGCTTCCAAGGGGGATGTTGTTGTCTCAGCCCGAGCCCCGAAACCAGCTCCCAAGGGCCCAAACTATTTGGAAACATGCGAGTTGAATTACCCTGGCGAGGAAGCCAACCATATGAGGTTGCGAGTACCGCCGTTGTGCGTATCGCCGTCGATGGAGCTCCCCATGGGGCCACGAAACGTGTGAGGGATGTATGGGTGGGGCGGCCGCGTGTGGACACCGCCACTGGCCCTTTGGTGGAGCTCGCATGGGTCTACGAAACATCTGAGGGGTGTGCCAAAATGGGCGGGACGGCCGCGCGTGCACACCGCTACTGGCCTTCGGAAGAGCTCCCTATGGGGCTTCGGAACGTGTGAGCAGTGAACCGAAATGACTGGGGCGGCCGCATGTGGTACCCACACAGACACACACACACACACACACACGGGCCTTCGCAGATGTGGTGCACCCCTCTGGGGCCTTCGGTGGAGCCCCCTGTGGGGCGAAAAACGTCCGAGGGGTGTGCTGTAATGGGTGGGGCGGCCACATGTGGTACACCGCTTGGTGGAACTCCCTGGGAAGCCACGAAACGTCTGAGAGGTGTGCCGAAATGAGTGGGGCGGCCGCAGGTGGTACACCCCCTTGGGGCAATAGGTGGAGCTCCCTATAGGGCCGCGAAACGTGTGAGGAGTGTGCCGAGATGGCTGGGACGGCCGCATGTGGTGCACCCCCCAAGGGCCATGAAGCGGGCCAGGGGTGTACCGAAATGGCTGAGGCGGCCGCATGTGGTACCCCCTGGGGCCTTCGGTGGAGATGCCTAGCTTACGTGGAGCTCCCTATGGGGCCACGGAACGCTGTACTGGGTGTGGCGGACGCATGTGGCCACCCCCTCTGGGGCCTCACGTGGAGCTCGCCATGGGGCCGCGCAACGCTGTACTGGGTGTGGCGGGCGCATGTGGCCACCCCCACTGGGGCCTTACGTGGAGCTCCCTGTGGGACCACAGAATGCTGTACTGGGTGTGGCGGACGCATGTGGCCACCCCCACTGGGGCCTTACTTGGAGCTCCCTATGGGGCCACGAAACGCTGTATTGGGTGTGGCGGACGCATGTGGCCACCCCCACTGGGGCCTTACGTGGAGCTCGCCATGGGGCCACGGAACGCTGTACTGGGTGTGGCGGACGCATGTGGCCACCCCCTCTGGGGCCTCACGTGGAGCTCCCTATGGGGCCACGAAACGCTGTACTGGGTGTGGCGGACGCATGTGGCCAACCCCCACTGGGACCGCGGGTGGAGCTCGCCATGGGGCCGCGCAACGCTGTACTGGGTGTGGCGGGCGCATGTGGCCACCCCCACTGGGGCCGTACGTGGAGCTCCCTATGGGGCCACGGAATGCTGTACTGGGTGTGGCGGACGCATGTGGCCACCCCCACTGGGGCCTTACTTGGAGCTCCCTATGGGGCCACGAAACGCTGTATTGGGTGTGGCGGACGCATGTGGCCACCCCCACTGGGGCCTTACGTGGAGCTCCCTGTGGGACCACGGAATGCTGTACTGGGTGTGGCGGACGCATGTGGCCACCCCCACTGCGGCCTTACGTGAAGCTCCCTATGGGGCCACGAAACGCTGTACTGGGTGTGGCGGACGCATGTGGTACCTCTCCTCAAAATAGTTACAATATATTCCGAAATGGTCCAGAATAGTCAAAGAATCGTCCCCATACTATGTTTTACTAGTTTTGAATGCTCCTCCTGTAGAGGGACACGCCCGACTTAAATCCAGACCCGTTCCTCGAGGCGGGTCTGGCAGCGGCGACGGAATGGCTCTGGGAGGCCTCGCCGGGGGCGAACAAGAACGAGGGGGGTGGCCGCCGCTGTCTCGAGCGGCCCTGCTCTCACTGGAGGCCACATGATCAGGAGAACAACCAGCAAGCCAGAACCATAGGCTGTCCAAGGTCCAGGAGGATTTCTTGGATCGGCGCTGGACCCCCCCCTGGCGCGCGGAGAGCGCCAGGGACGGCGCCAGAGGCGCCGCCAGGAGGGTCCTAGCGCAGACTCAAGAGATTTGCGCGGCCTCCGAAAATTTGTGCTGATGCAGGCTTGCAGTTTTATTTTTTTCCGGATGATGTATTACAATCAACCCATATAGTAAGGACGCACGGTAAGGATTGGAAGGCTATGTCGGCACTTTGCGAGCGGGGCGCGGCCAGCAAAAGCGGCCAAGGATGGGCCGAAGGGGAAGGATGCAAGGATAACCTTGGAAAGTCGCTCATCCTTACTATGCGGGTTGACTGTACCGATGCCGCTGCGCGACAAACCTCTCCTGGGCAGAAGTTTTCGAGGAGAATTCAGCCGTGGCGACGAGGGCTCCCCAGGACGAGCAGCGGCATCGGTACCTTTTCTCTCCCCCGCGGATCGCCAGGCCACTGAGCTCTCGGTCATGGAGGCTGAAGTCGAGGCTCGCCAGCTCGCTCTCTGGGCACTCGTACACCGCAAGGTTGCGGCTGCCCGCCCCCGCACGCACGGCGGCCTCTGCACTGGCGGTTTTGCGGGCGGCCCGCGCGCGCCGCCGAGCTCTGGGCGCCGCCGCCGCCGCCGCCGCCGTCGCCGTCGCCACCGTCCGCCACAGCCGCAGCCGGTGGTCGTCGTCGGCGTCGTCGGCGTCGTCGGCGCAATCGCCGTCGCCGCCGTTCGCCGCCGCCGTCCGTCCGTCCGTCCGTCCATCCTCGTCCTCGTCCTCGTCGTCGTCGCCGCCGCCGTCGTCGTCGTCGTCGTCGTCATGTCGCTGTCGTCGCCGTCGCCGTCGTCGTCGCCGTCGCCGTCGCCGTCGCCGTCGCCGCCATCGTCGTCGTCGTCGTCGCCGTCGTCGTCGGCGCCGCTGTCGTCCGCCGCCGCCACTGCCATCGGTGGTCGTCGGCCCTCGTACCAGTGACGCGGTCGGTAGCGGAAGCGGCCTTCGCGCGCGCACGCGCGGCGGGCGATGCGCAGTCCGGTTGGAGGCCCAGCAGATAGAGCGCCTTGGCCCCGACTGGGCTTGGTGTCGCCCTAGGGCAGACCCCCGACGGGAGCCATGATTGTTTCACAACGTGGACCCGTGGAGGTCTCGACCGACTCCCTCAGATCAGAGTTTCATCCTGAGTCGTGTTTGGTACGGTCCCAAGCCCTGCAAGCCCCCAGAGGTACAACATATAAAGGAACCTTCCTTCGCGGTTGTTTCACGACGCGAGGGGTGGGAGGGAGCCCCTTGGCTCCAAGTGGCCTTGCCCGAACTTGGCTCAGCGCCGCCCGTCTGTGCGCGAGAAGGAGAAGTTGACCGTCTGCACGGGGTCGCTGGCCCGATCCACTGCAAAACACCCACGCCTCCGACTTCCTGACTTGCCTTGGGATCCGACGTCTGGGACCCCAGTGGGCGGTGGATATGGCTACAGTGTGGCCCAAGGGGGCCAGATTCCTTCACGATTTCTGAAGCACCTCCTCCACCTCCCTCCTCCTCTCCCTCCTCCTCTCCCTCCTCCTCCGCCTCCTCCCTCCTCTCTCCTCCTCCACACTCCACCCTCCTCCCTCCTCTCCCTCCTCCTCCTCCTCCTCCTCCTCCTCCTCCTTTATGTCATCTATGCTAAGAAGTCTACGTGCAGCAAACTATGTGGTGCAGTATTTACTTGTGGTGCAATAAATAAGGAACTACCTATGTGGTACAATATCTGTGGTGCCATCTACGTTGTGCAACCTATGGTGTGCAATATCCGCCACCGTGCCTGCACGGAGTGTGCGTGTCACCATGCTCGTCTGTTGTCTGGGAGTTTCTGTAAAGTTTAAGGGACCCACCCTCCCCGCACGCGCCCCTCGAAAACCGCACCTTTCGAAATTGTGTTCTAGCGGTCTGTTCGACCTCCAGACCGCCAAAATGGCCTCCAAGACTGCTTCCAAGACAGCCAGGACGACAACCAAACAGCCCATGATGGCCCATGACAGCCCAAGAACCTCTCAAGAGAGCCTCAAGGCGGCTCAGGATAGCCCAAGAGGGCCTCAAGACAGCCCAAGACGGCCCGAAAGAGCTCCGAAAGGCCGTCCTGGAGAGCCCCAGTGGTACCAGAACCATTGATGCTCATCAGGTTGTTGACGCGTTGTGAGGTTCTCGTGTGTTCGGGTTTCTGGTCACCCAAAACAGGCCAAGAGGCGCCTAAGAGGCCTTCAAGGTAGCTCCAAGACAGCCAACGAGGCCCCCAAGAGGGCCCCAAGTCGGCTCAAGTGGACCCACAGATTGCCCAAAGGGCCCCCAAAGAGGGCCCCAAGACGGCCCTGAAGCGATCCCGGTGGCAACACGACGGCCCAGAGAGGGCTCGTGGGCTGCCTTGGGTGGTCGGAAACCCAAACACACCAGAACCTCAAAATCCGTCAAACACCTAAGGGGAAACAATGGTATTGGCCTCCTCGGGCTCGCCTGGAAGACCTCTTGGAGACCTCTTGGGCCGCCTTGGGGGCCTCTTGATCTGCCTTGAGGTCTTCTTGGGGGCCTCATGGCCTCCAAGACGGCTTTTAAGGCAGCCAAGATGAAGCCAAGATGGCCCTAAGATGGCGCACGACGGCTTAAGCGGCACCCAAGACAGCCCGAAGAAAGATCAAGAACGGCCCAAGACGTCTCCACGAGGCCCTGCTGGAGAACCCAAGGAAGCCAAAACGTGTTTGAAAAATTTACCTCACCTGGCAAGGCTTCCCACCGCCCAAGAGGGCCCACGAAGCCTCCCAAGGGGCCCCCAAAGATAGCTCCAAAACAGCCCAGGAGGACCCCAAGGGGGCCCGAAGTCGGCCCGAGAGGACCCAAAGATCGCCCAAGGGGCCCCAGGGGCTCCCAAGAGGGCCCCAAGACGGCCGTGAACCGCTCCAAGAGGGCACCAGCACGGCGTAGAGAGGCCCCCAAGGCGGCCTCCATAGGCGTCAGACAGGCCAAGAGTCCCTTAAGACAGCCCAAGAGGCCCCCAAGAGGCCCCCAAGAGGCCCCCAAGAGGCCCCCAAGAGGCCCCCCAGAAGCTTTGAGGAAGCTCCCAGGACGTCCCAAGGAAGCTCCCAGAAGGCCCCGAGAAGACTTATCCTCATCATCATCATCATCATCACCTTCTCCCTCTCCTCCTCCTCCTCCCCCTCCCCCTCCTCCTCCTCCTCCTCCTCCTCCTCCTCCTCCTCCTCCTCCTCCTCCTCCTCCTCCTCGTCCTCGTCCTCGTCCTCGTCCTCCCTACCGCGCGGACGAAGATGGGGTCTGGATCACGACCCGCCCCAATGCAGACTACTACTCGTCGGGATCGCGCTGCTCCTACGCTCAGCCTCATTCCTGCTGCGCTGGTGCACAGGCATGGTGGCGGGGTGTGCCGCAGGCAGCTGGACATGTTATGCAATATACGTGATACAATAAACGTGGTGCAACCTATTGTGTACAATCTAGGTTGTGCAATCCACGTTGTGCAATCTATGTGGTGACATCTATGTGGTGCAACTAATTTCTGTTCGCAATGAGTTGTCCACTCCACTGCTCGAGCAAACATCCCACCCACCCACCCGCAACTTGGTTTGCAAAATCTTTGAAGACCGTGACGGTGGGTACCACATGGCACTTGGCAACAACAGCGACGCCGACGACGACAGCGACAACGACGATGACGACGCCGCCGACAACGACTACGACGACACCGACGACGTCTCCAACGACATCGACGACGCCGACAACGACGACGACGACGACGACGACGACGACGACGACGACGACGACGACGACGACACCGACGCCGACGACGACGACGATGACAACAACGACGACGACGATGACGACGCCGACGACGACGATAACGCCGACACCGACGACGACGACGTCAACGACGCCGACGACGACGACGACGACGTCGACGACGACGACGACGACGGCGGCGACGACGACGACGCCGACGTCGACGACGACGAAGACGACAACGACGCCGACGCCGACGACGACGACGAAGACGACGACGACGTCGCCAACGAAGACAACGAGGAGGAGGGAGGACGGCGACGACGCGAACGACTAAGAAGGAGGAAGGGAGGCGACGCCGACAACGGCAACGACGAGGGAGGAGGGAAGACGACGACGACGACGACGACGACAACGACGACGACGACGACGACGACGACGGCGACGAAACAGGAGGGACGACGACGAGACGCCGACGACGGACGACGACGACGACGAGGAAGGAGGAGGAAGGACGACCACGGCGACAACGACGACGGAAACGACCACGACGCCAAAGAGGACGACGACGACGAACACGAGGAAAGACAGAGGACGACGTAGGCGACGACGACGACGACAACGACGCGGGAGGAGGGAGGACGCGACGACGACGACGACGACGACGCAAGAGCGCGCGCGCACGCTTTTGTTGAAAATCCGTGTTGCGAAACCTTGTGTTCTTGTAGGTTTTGGACACACGATTTTGAAATCCTTCCGAAACCGATGGGTTTTGTGAAGGTTTTCGGCATACGCGCGCGACGACGCGCGCGTCTGCACTTCGTCCCATTTTTACAAGGGATTCTCGCGACGGCACACGCGCAAGGGCGTTCGACAGATTTCGACATGAGCGCGCGCGAAGCCCGTTTGGTAGCATGTTGTGAAAATATTGAAACCCCTATAGTTTTCTTAAGACTTCGCAAGAGCTTTCGCGGAAGCTTTTTAAGCAACTCTGTGGTGCGAAACCCTGTGTTTTTGTATGTTGTTTGGAAACTTGATTGCGAAATCCTTCCGGAACCGAAGGTTTTTGAAGGATTTCGGCATGCGCGCGCGACGACGCGCGCGTGTGCACTCCGTCTCGTTTTTTGCAAGGGATTCGTGAAAAAAGTGTTATGCTAGAACAAAAAATGTCACCGCATAGAGTTTTTTTCACAAGGAAACCTCAGGGGGGGGGAAACCGGTTTGGCTGGGATGATATGATTTCAAATTTAGGATGGACGAGTGTGCAGAATATATGTGTGTATATATATATGAAATCATACTATCCCAGGGGGAACCGATAAGTCCGGGGGGGGGGGGGTAAAGTGTATTCTCTTTTTGGAAAGGAGAATCCACTCTGCTGAACTTGAAATCGTCATCTCCACCGCTCGCGCAAACATCCAACCCACCCACCCGCAACTTGGTTTGCAAAACCTGTTAAGACCGACTACGACGACACCGACGACAACGACTAGGACGACACCGACGACGTCTCCAAAGACTTCGACGACGACAACGACGCCGACGCCGACGACGACGAAGACGACGACGACGACGCCAACGAAGGCGACGACGAGGGAGGAGGAAGGACGACGACGGCGACAACGACGACAACGACGACAACGACGAGGGAGGAGGGAGGACGGCGACGACGCGAACGACGACGAAGGAGGAAGGACGGCGACGCCGACGACGACAACGACGAGGGAGGAGGGAAGACGACGACGACAATGACGACGACGACGGCGACGAAATAGGAGAGACGACGACGAGACGCCGACGACGGACGACGACGACGACGTGGGAGGACGAGGAAGGACGACCACGGCGACAACGACGACGGAAACGACCACGACGCCAAAGAGGACGACGACGACGAACACGAGAAAGGACAGAGGACGACGTAGGCGACAGCGACGACGACGACGACGACGCGGGAGGAGGGAGGACGGCGACGACGACGACGACGCGAAAGCGCGCGCGCACGCTTTTGTTGAAAATCCGTGTTGCGAAACCTTGGGTTTTTGAAGTTTTTTGGACGCACGATTTTGAAATCTTTCCGAAACCGATGGGTTTTGAAGGTTTTCGGCATACGCCCGCGACGACGCGCGCGTCTGCACTTCGTCCCGTTTTTTGCAAGGGATTCTCGCGACGGCACACGCGCAAGGGCGTTCGACAGATTTCGACATGAGCGCGCGCGAAGCCCGTTTGGTAGCATGTTGTGAAAATATTGAAAACCTATGGTTTTCTTAAGATTTCGCAAGAGCTCGCGCGGAAGCCTTTTTAGCAAATCAGTGTTGCGAAACCCTGTGTTTTTGTATGTGTTTTGGAAACTCGATTGCGAAATCCTTCCGGCACCGAGGGTTTTTGAAGGATTTCGGCATGCGCGCGCGACGACGCGCGCGTGTGCACTTCGTCCCATTTTTTGCAAGGGATTCGTGAAAAAGTGCTATGTCAGAACAAAAAATGTCACCGCATAATGTTTTTACAAGGGAACCTCAGGGGGGGGAACCCGGTTTGGCTGGGATGATGTGATTTCATATTCAGGATGGACGAGTGTGCAGAATATATATATGAAATCATACTACCCCAAGGGGTACCAATAAATCCGGGCGGGGGGGGAGAGTCTATTCTCTTTTTAGAAAGGAGAATCTGTGTGGCAGCGACGAGGTAGCGACAGGATGGCGAGGCAGCACTGCTTTGGAAATTGATTGCATGCCGCTGTTCTTTCTGGCGCCAGGGAAGCCGACGTATCTAGGAAGCCGCCTGGTGGCAGAGCCCAAACCAGCTGCATGCAGCAAATGTTGTAACCCTCCTGATCCCGATGACCCCTGTTGTCCGACCCGAGTGATCATCGCTGCCCAACATTCTGGCCAGAGCTCGGGCCTCTCGCGGCCGCTCGGGCCCATCAGGGCACCCTGGGGATGCTCTCGGCGAGGCGCAGCTGCTGGAGAGCATGGACTGGAGCACCGCCGAGCGCCGACGAGCATGTCCGAAAACCTCGAGCCTCGAACTCCCAACCCGCCCTGATCTTCGAGCCCATCCTTAGGGGAACGAAGAAGGACAAAAACAACAAAAGTCGGAGGTCTGCGCGAATTTCTCGGATCGGCGCTGGACCCCCCCTCCCTGGCGCGCGGCGCGCGCCAGGGGCGGCGCCGGAGGCGCCGCCAGGGGGCCCCCCAGCGCCGATCCGAGAGATCCGCGCGGACCTCCGAGTTTTGATCTTCATGTCATTGTTCGTTCCCCTAAGATTGTTCCTGAGCATCAGGGGAGCCTGGCGGTGTATACAGTGAGGGCGCGCATCAAGAAACCATATGCTCTTCGTCAGGGTAATGCGGGATGACGATTAATAAAAAATGTGGGGAAACGATTAAAAAGATAGTTCCCTGCTATTTCTGCACAAGTTTCTGACTGGAGGGAAACGATTTTAAAACGTAGTTTTCCAGCCCGCGGCCGGTTTTTTCTAATCGTCATCCCGGGCGCCGCCGCGTGAACACGACCCCCGGTCATTTATTAATCGTCATCCTCCATTACCCTGGTGTTCTTCGCTCCGCGCGCTGCGCGCTCACTTTCCGCAGCCGTTGACCCGAGAGATCCGCGCGGGCCTCCGAGCTTTGATGCTCATGTCATTGCGATCGCTCCCCTAAAAAATCCTTCCGGCCCGAGCCTTGCACGCTCCTGCCCGAGACCTCGCCCCTGGTCACGTGACCACCGCGGCCAGGCTGCAGGCGGTTTCTGGAGGATGAATGAAAATAGTTTTTTATCTATATATATACACACATACACACATATATATATATATATATATATATATATGTACAAATTCAAACAATGCTCAAAAGTTCGTCCCAAACTATGTCCTAAACTATGTTTGAGTCTTCCTCCTGCAGAGGGACGACTTGGGGCCAGGCCCGCCCTCGGCGGCCGCGCGCCCTGCCCCCGGCCGCGCGCCCCCCCCCCCCCCCGTGCGGCGGCGCCTCGTTCTGCGGGCGCCCCTCCTTCGGGACCGCGACCCTGCCCAACCGCCGCGTGAGCGGGGGGAGGGGGGTCCAGGACTCGAGGACTCCGAGCCTCCACGATCGCTGCACAAGTTTTCGGGCGTTTTCCCTAGAGGCCCCGATCCAGGACTCGAGGACTCCGAGCCTCCACGATCGACGCACAAGTGCTCGGGCGTTTTCCCTAGAGGCCTCCTGGATGGGGTCGGAGTTAAAAGGGTCGGAGGATCGCGCCGCATCGCCGATGCATCGGCGATGCATCGGTGATGCATCGGTGATGCACCAGCGGTGCTTCGTCGACGTCGGCGATGCATCGGCGACGTCGACGTGAAGCAAGTCGTCCCCACATCGGGCAGCATCGGCGATGCATCGGCGATGCGGCGCGACCCTCCGGCCCCACCTACTCGGACCCCACCATTTAGGAGGTCTATAGATTACCCCCACGCGAGGTCGTGACACTTGGACAAGCGAACTCTCGACCCGCCTGGCACACCCTGCACACCGCGGCCGCCAGGGAAGCCCCCGAGGCATGCGCGGTGCACAGAGCCTCCAACGCTCGGGGAGGAGGAGTCGGTCGCCCGATGCGGCAGTGCAGTGCGGGCGCGGCCGCAGGAAACCCTCGCAGGAAGCCCAGCCCTGAGAACCCGCGCGCGAGGCACATCCGAGGGGAAGCCCGGAGCGCCCTGAACGCAGCAGCTTCTTCCACGGCCGCGGGAAGTCACCGCGCGGCGCGCGGAGCGAGGAAGCCAAGGATACCCTGACGAAGAGCATATGGATATGGCTTCTTGTTGCGCGCCCCCTAGGGCACCCCCCGAGGGGAGCCACGAGGACGGGTCTCGAATTCGAACATCAAGTGCCGGCGGCCCTTCTTCACCGCGCTGCCCGGCGGACAAAGCTTCGACCCGTGTCCGCTCATGCTGGGCGGCCCTCTAAGACTGGCGGCGCGCAGAAAAAGGGGGTAGGCCTGCTTCTTAGAAGGCCTGCTTCTTAGAGGGCGCCGGCCTTACATCTGCAGAGTAGGCCCGCGCTTTCTGAGAAGCAGGGGTCATTCTAAGAAGCCTTCCCCCTCACCCTACCCCCCCCTCTGCGCGTGACTGAGAGAAGGCAAGGCAAAGCGCCGATGTTCGCCCCGGGGGCGGGGGGGGGCGGCCCCCTGAGAGCTCGGCGGGGGCGCTGGAGCGCCGAAACTCAGATGTCGCAATCAGTACACGACTGCTTCAGAATCCGGAATTCGCACCGCTGGCTCCCTCGAACCAATCCTCCCCATCAGTTTGATTATGGAACGAAGCGCGGCGAAGCGGCGGGGAGGGGCACGCCGAGCACTCCGCTCCAGGGCCGGGGGCCACGAGGGGATCATCGCGGAGCCCTTCGGCCCCGGGCCGAGTTGAGGCATGAGCGACGACGACGACGACGACAACGACGACGACGACGACGACGGACACGACGACGACGACGACGACGACGGACACGACGACGCCGACGACGCCGGCGACGTCGGGTCGACGACCGAAGAGTTGGTCGACTGCTTTTGTACGCCTCCCGGGGCGGGCGCACACGTGCTGTCGCCACGGTTGCGCCGGCGGCCGCGCGGGGGGAGGGGGCACGTCGAGGCCCTGGGCTGCAGGAGAAGCGAGGACCGACGCAGGAGGCACCACAGGAGGCTACACGTAAGAGTGGCCCTGGGTAAGAGCGACCTTTGGTGCGCGGCTATTGGAGAGGAGGAGGGGGAAGGAGGCGAAGGAGAAGGAGGAGGAGGGGGAGGAGGAGGAGGAGGAGGAGAAGGAGGAGGAGGAGGAGAAGGAGGAGGAGGAGGAGGAGGAGGAGGAGGGGGAGGAGGGGGAGAAGGAGTGACCCTGAGTAAGGGGGCCGCGGTGAGGCCAAATCCAGGCGCGCTAGCCGCTGCTACCGCTTCGCGTTCGGCCATCTGGGGGCCCATCTGTGCCCGCACCAAAAGTCACTGCGGCGAAAGGTCACTCTTACATTATAGTCGACCACAGGAGGCACCCAGAAATGAACGCAGGCGCGAGCCACCTCGAGACGCATCCAGCATACGGCAAGTGCGTGCCATGGCGACCCCGGCGCTGGTTTCTGGCACCGCGTGGATCGTTCCAGCTGGAACGATGGGCGGCTTTTCGATCGCCGGATCGTTCCATATTGGCCGATTCTGGGCCACTGGGCGGCGTCCAAACTTGACCGCCCACGGCGGGGCCGTTGACGCGCCAGTAGGACACGAACCGACCGCACCCTGAGCCCTGGGCAAGCTCGTGGCGAGAACGAGCCCTGGGCGAGCTTGGCGCGCGATTTCTAAGCAAAGGGAATCGAACAGGGACCGACCGTCCCGGCATTCCCTAGTCCTACCACGAAATGTTCTTAGAACCAGACAATGTTCGAAGAACAAAAATAACACCAGAGATAAACCCTATCATAATCGTTCTAGGGCTATAGAGCTATGGGGCTACGAGACTATAGAGCTGTAGGGCTACTAGGGCTATAGGGCAATAGGGCGATAGGGCTATGGTACTATAGGGCTATAGGGCGATAGGGCTGTAGGGCAATAAGGCTGAAAGGTTATAGGGCTATTGGGCTACAGGGCTATTGGGCTATAGGGTTATAGGGCTATTAGGGCTACAGGGCTATAGGGCTATTAGGACTATTAGGGCTATAGGGCTATAGGGCTATTAGAGCTATAGGGCTATCGGGTTATAGGGCTATAGGGTTAGGGCTATAGGGCTATAGGGTTGTAGGGCTACTAGGCTACAGGGCTATAGGGCTGTAGGGCTATGAGGCTATAGGGCTATAGAGCTATAGGGTTACATGGCTAAAGGGCTATTAGGACTATAGAGCTGTAGGCCTATAAGGCTATAGGGCTATAGGGTTCTTGGGCTATAAGGTACTAGGGCTATAAGCCTGTAAAGCTGTAGGGCTATAGGGGCTACCTGGCACCCGGACACCCGGGCACCCGGGCACCCGGGCAACCGGGCACCCCCGGGCCCCCCCCGGCACCTCCGGGCACCCCCAGGCACCTCTGGACACCCGTGGGCACCCGAGCACCCAGGCACCCAGGCACCGGGGCCCCCCGGGCACCTGGGCACCCGGACACCCGGGCACCCAGGCCGGCCACCGAAATCGGCGACGTAGGTCACCTACACATGCGAATCCGCTAGGGCCCCTACAGAGGCAAGCTCCCACTGGAGAGCAGTACGGCATTTTGCTGTGTTTAGTGTCTGGATGTGTGCTGCGGTGTTTGCCCCGCTGTAGCGGCGCACTACACTGTTAGTATTTTCCGTACCAAAAATACGTTCACCACCACCTATCGTGTTCCCCTCCTGACCCGTGGCCGCCCACCCCCCGTCCACCGTGTCCTCCTTCCTCGGACTCTGACTCGGACTCCTCGTTCCACTCGGTCCCCCCGCCCCTCCTCATCCTCGTCGCGTCGTCGTTGTCCTCTTGCACCCCTCGGCACACGGCTTAGGCGCCGTACTTCTCGACCACCCTCTGGCTCCTGGTCCTCCCCCTCCTCCTCATCCTCCGTCCTCCTTCTCCTCCTCCTCCTGGCACGTGCCAGCAAGTGCATGCATGGATTGCGCAGAAGAGTATCCCATGAGGGGCCCAGATACTGCGTGCGAAGCTTTCCTGACTGCTTGATTTAGACATAGCCTGTACTCACACAGGCTTCAAGATGGCATCTGAGAGGTGTGCCGTGTGCCCAGATTCGGCGGTGGACCAACCTCCCTTTAGTAAACCTCCCCTTAGTGAAAACAGCCTGGGACCGAAACCGACGGGCCTGGACCCGCAAAAATGACGGCCGCGACGCCCTCTCGCGAATCGAAAACGGCCAATGCCTTAATCGACGTGTCAGGGTAGCAGGTCTATCCACCCCCGACAGGTGTTCGTCAAGCTCCCTCCTACCCCCTGCGATGTCTGCAGAGACCCGCCCATCTTATTCAGGAGTTGGCTGGGGGCTTTGGCGAATCTGGCAGGGGGAGGGGCCCAGGAGGGAGGTCCGAGCAGCGCCACGCCAGACTGCAAGCCTGCTTGATGGCCGCGGCACTGCACGCCGCCGCTGCGGCGCTGCGTGGGCCTTCTCTCTTCTGGACTCTTGCATGGAGGCGCCGCCCGGCCGCTCCCCAGAGGACACCCGGCGCTCCTGAGAACTTCGCTGCAGGGGCCCAGGGACACACAAATAAATACACACAAATCCCAGGGTCCGCCATATTTTCCTATATTTTCTGGGTTTGCGTCTTCCCCCCACTGTCCATATTTTCCCATGTTTTCATGGAGATCGACGATTACTTGTGTCTGTGTTTTTTCCCCTCCTGATTCACGGGACCCTCCAGACCTTCCCAGGGCCGTCCAGCACTTGCTAGGACTCCCCCACGGGACCCTCCAGACCCTCCCAGGGTCTTCCAGCACTTGCCAGGACTCCCCAGCACGCCGCAGGACGCCCATTGACCCATGACCCTGCAGGGCCCAAGACTCCCAGCGTTTCCCAGTTCTCCCCAACACCCGCCAGGACACCACGGCACCCCTTGACCGCCGCGACGCCCCGCCGACGCGACCCCCAGCACCATTGACGCCCACCCCCGCCGGCACTTCCCTTGACAGTCCAGGATTCCCCTTTGGTTCATCGTGTGGCTGATGTCAGCGGGCATGCGCCGATTGCCACTCGCGTGGGCTGTTTCGGGACTGTTGCGTGGGCTGCAGTGGCGTGGACCAGTTTCGCGGCTGCTGCGCGGTGCGTTGCCATTACCGTTGAGAGACTCAGGCCTGCTGCGTGGGCCGGTGGCGTTGCCGTTGGAAATTTCGGGGCTGCTTGATGCCATTGTCGTCCACACTTGCGAGGCTGCTGCGGGGGGCTCATTACCGTTGCCGGTTGCTGCTTCTGGCGGTAAGCCCCAACTTGCCAACGACCGTGGCAACGGCCAATGCATCACCCCCGGAATGGCCAACGGCAACGGACACGGCCCATGCAGCAGACCCGAAATTCACAGCGGCTTTGCCAACGGCCCACGCAGCAACCTCGAATCCCCCAACGCCAGTTGCAATGCCATACGCAGCGAAGCCGATTCTCACAACGCCATTGGCAGCTGGGGAAACCAGAAGGTACCGATACCGCTACTCCCCAGACCTCTCCCGCGGTGCGTTCTGACCAGAATTTCGAGGCGAATCCAGCGGTGGCGACGAGAGCCGCCCAGGAGGCCCAAAAAGGGGAAAACGAGGCGAGGGCAGAGGTGTGGGCACCTCTTCCTCATCCGAGCAAGGCCCCACGCGGCAATTGACGGCAGTGGCAATGCCCCACGCAGCAGCCGCGAACTTGTCAAAACTCCGGTACAGCAGCTGCGGAAGTACCAGCGCCCTCTCCCGACTCTGGTTCGGCGGCTGCGAGAGTGGCAACGCTCTTTCCGAACGCTATGTCAGCAGCTGCAATGCGAAGGTGGGAACGCTCGTTCCCAACGTCATGTGTCTTAAAGCACGCTTACGAACAGCATTGCGACGCATCAGTTGTTGTGGCACATCGTTGAACAAGGCTGCAGATCTTGAGCAGGGACCGACCGTCCCGGCATTCCTATAGTCCTACCACGAAATGTTCTCAGAACCCCAAGATGTTCTAAGAACAAAACACTTTTCTTAGAGCATAAACCCGATGTGTTAAAGCAAGACAGACTCCGCCAGAAATGTTCTAAGAACATGTCGTGGAACATTGTTTGGTAGGGCTATAGGCGAGCCAGGACGCTTCGCCACTGCTTGAAGATCCCGTCCCGTCCTGACCCTAGACCTCTCCCGAATGGTGTTCTGAGGCCTCGACGCGAATCTGGCCGTCGCGGCGAGGGAAAGGCGGAAGCCTCCCATACCATCTTGTCGGCTCCTGCGAACCGACGCTAGTCGACACAAACCGACGCTAAATCGACGCTGATCGACGCGAGCCGACGCTAAATCGGCGCTATCTCATCGACTCAAAAAGCTAATCGACGCGACTCGACGCTAAAGACGGAATTCAGAGGGTATACAGGCTTCCATGGTTTGCCACCGAAAGCCTCGGACATGAGACTAAGGCAGGACGAAGATGAATCAAGAGAACTCAGAGAGCTGCCGAGGAGTCTAGACCGCGAGGCAGCTGGAGTAGACATGCTTCCCGCTTGGAGGTGGCCCTGGGGTCTGAACTGGATGGGCCCTGGGAACGCCTGCCAAGAAGAAGGGATCAGGGCAAATACAGTGCCAGCCTTTCTAGAACGGCTGGGGGCAGATCCGCTCAAGATCAGTCCCCAGACCCCTCCTGGGGTCCCAATTTCGACAGTCCTGGGGGCCGAGAAAAGCCTGTGGAGGCCGAACAAGGCAAAACACCTCCTCAACCCCGGGGCCTCGCAACGCCGGAGAACAAGTGCTGGGCCACCTCAGACCCCCAGCCCGCTCCAAGGGGTCGCTGCCGAGGAGCCCCGACCGCAAGGTCAGAGGCAGACATACTTCCCGCCCGCGGCCCCGTGGGGCCTCACGGTCATCAGGTACCGCGACAGCAGCCCCACCGCAGACAGCCCCGCCAGGAGGCTGCCCTGCCCGAAGTAGCCCACGAAGACCTGCAGAGGGCGGCGGGCCGCACCTGCCTTCGATCACCAGGCCGAAGACGAGGGCTTTGGACGCCCGAGACGCTTAAGGAAAGACGGATACGATGCCCCGAAACAAGTGTTGTCCAAAACCGACAGCGGCCGCTGGTGGGCAGGCGCCTAAAACGGACAACGTCCGCGGCGACGTCGACCACGAGACCTGGTCAGAATGATGAGGAGCTGATGTCGGTCTTCGTGTCCATTGTTTCCGCACCCATGTTGTGCCGAACGGCTCACCGCATGAGCCTGAACTGCCTGAGGTCCGCGCGGAGTGTTTTGATCTGCGCTGGAGACCCCTGGCGGCGCCCCTGGCGCCGACCCCGGCGCGCTCCGCGCGCCAGAGAGGGGGTGGGTCCCTGGCGCCGATGCGAGAAATCCTCGCGGAGCTCCGAAGGTCTAAGTTTATGCAATTCTGGCTTCCTTCTTCGAGGATCATGCCCAGACATTGGGCGCCCGAATTATCCGGGGTAACTCGGGCCCGGGGTAACTCGGGCTTGGATTCCCCCAAAACAATCCCGAGCTAGCCCTGACCCGAATTACCCCTGATGACTCGGGGCTCTGGGCGCCCGAATTCTCCGGGGTAACTCGGGCCCGGGGCAACTTGGGTTCGGACTTCCGAAAAAAACGAACCCGAGCTAGCCCTGACCCGAGCGACCCCGGATGACTCGGGGCTCTGAAGACATGTTCGCTGGCTCCCTCCTCCTTCAGGGACGCACTGACCCTGCAGGATCCTGGAAGATCCTGCAGGATCTTGCAGGGTCTTGCAGGATCCTGCAAGAACCTGCACCCAACCCCGGGTCAATGCGAAGGATCCTGCAGGATCCTGCAAGATGGAGCGCTCTGGCTGACCCCCGTCTCAAGGCTCCCGATCCTCCTCACTCCGCGCGCGGCTGGCCACCACTGGACTCCGGGCGTCCGAGGGCTGGCCGTCTCCCCTCCCTGGCCGCCCTCCGCTCGTGCGCGGGCGCTGTCTTGCTGCGGCCAGCTCGGAGAGGCCCTCTCAGAGGCCCAGAGAGCCATGGCACCGACCTTGCAGACGTGCTGCAGCGGATTCTTGCGCGGAGTTCTGTCAATGCAAAACCCCGAAACGGCGAGTGAAAAACAAAGTGAATTTCGCGTGGAATTTTGTTAGTTCATTCCTGGCCAAACAAAAATCCGCACGAAATGCACCTCGAAATCCGGAACGAAATTCTCCGGGGCACTCCGTGCCTATCCTATCGTTTTCCGAACGAAATCCGCTCTGCGAGGTTGGCGCCATGAAAAGAGGGGACCTGGATCCCCGATCCTGACCCTCGAACAGAAGGGAGGCCTCCGCCTCCCCCAACCTACGCCAAGACATCAGGAGGCAAATGATGAGAGGGCTTCGTAGTCTCAGGATCAAGCCGGACTGCAAAGCATTCTCACAAGTTAGCTGGAACCGTGCCGAATGAGGGCGGTTGCTGGCCGTGGAGTAATCCTAGCGCAAATGCTGAATTCAACCTCACAGGATTTGAATCCTAACCAAGACCCCACCCCAACGCAAAAAAACATAAAAAAAACGAACTCAGTCCCAGGACTCCTGCCAGGGGCCATCCTGGCGAGCTGTCCTTGCTGCGCCAACTTCCTGCAGTCCTGGGGCCCTGAGCGGGCCTCCAGGGGAGGCCAGCTGCTGGAAGAAGACCGCTTTAGAGATACATCGAAAGCCCCTTGCAAAAGCAGGCGGACCTGGAGGATGCATCGGGCACCGCGGCCGTTCCAGAGCGCTCCAGGACGCCCCAGGGCGACGTGCCCACTTCACAGCGGGAATCGCTTAAGCAATCGGCGTCACCACCACATACTAGTGCTGTGTGCGCGTCGCCCCCCCGAGGGCGGCGCGCGCGCGCCGAGAGATCTTACGATGTGTGCTCTGTGGCGGGCACTTTCTGGCCATACCGCTCGGGAAACGATATACTGCAGGATGGTCATACTATGTGTTCGGATCAGGCGTACGCCTCCAAGGAAGACACACATACTAATATGCCCTTGTGCGTCCCAGAATAGAAAGGTCCCTGGCACAAATTGTTCCGGGCGTCCCGTGCCGCGTTTGATGGCGCGAGGGATGGCGGGGGGGGGGGGCGTGCCGCTGTGGAGCCCCATGGGGCACCCCTGGGCCTCGTGAGGGGTGTTTGACATGTTTTGAACGCCGATGTTGCAAATGCATATGTTTTATATGTTTTCGGGACACTCGATTTTGAAATCCTTGCGAAACCAAAGAGACTTTGAACAGATTTGGGCATGCGCGCGCGACGACGGGCGCGCGTGCACTTCATCCCATTTGATGCAAGGGATTCTTACGACAGCACGCGCGCAAGGGCGTTCCAGCGATTCCGACATGCGCGAGCGAGAGGCCCCTTTGGTAACAATGTATGCAATTGTTGAAAAAAAACATGGTTTCCTTAAGAATTCGCAGGAGCCCGAGTGCAAGTGTTGTAAACTGATGTTGCAAAACCATGATATGTATATGTTTCGGGACACCCGATTTTGAAATCCTTCCGAAACCTCATGTTTTTGAAAAATTTCGGCATGCGCGCGCGACGACGCGCGCGCGTGCACTTCATCCCATGTGTTGCAAAGGATTCTTCAAAAAATCAAAACTTTTTGATAAACGAGTGCACGCGCTGGTCATATTTCGCAGAGGATGACGGGGGGGGCGTTACCAGCCTGGCTTGGATTGCACGCATTCATGTTTACGATGGGCGATGGGGCCGAATAATTTGCAAATCGCCATACGAGAAGGGGGCGGTTAAATTGGGGGGAGCCTGGTATACTTTTAGAAAGGAGAACCCTGTGACAGGCGGAGAAGCAACAATGCAAAGCAACGCAAAGTAACGCAACGCAACCCCAAGCAGTGCAATGCAAAGCATCGCAAAGACATACCACGCAAATAAAAGCAATGCGAAGCAATGCTGAACGACCCAAAACAACGCAAAACAAGGCAGAGCACCGAAAGGCATTTCAAAGCAACGCAACGCCATGCAAAACAACGAAGAAGAATGCAACACAATGCACAGCAATGCGACGAAGCGGCGACGAGGCGGCGACGACGACCACACAGACGCCAGACTGGCGCCCAGGCCCAGACGACGGGCGGCGACGGGGCGGCGACGGAGCGGCGACGGGGCGGCGAGGGGGCGGCGACGGCGACCACAAGGCCGCCAGACCAGCACAAAAGCCCTGACGGCGGACAGCGGGGAAGCGGCGACGAGGCGGCGACGGCGACCAGATAGCTGACAGAGTGGCGCACATGAGGAACGAACTCCCTTGAACAACCCCTGAGCACTTATTTCTAGAACGATTCTGCGAAAACGGCACCAGAAACCGAAAATAAAAACGTTGAGATCATGTTCTGCGCCGGAACCAGCCAAGCGCAACAACATCGGCGACAAGTCAGACGGAACCAAAAACAGCGCTCTGAAAGTTTCGAGAGACATCTAAGGTTAGAATTTTATACATATACATATACATAAACATATATATAACACAAAGTGTTTTCTATAATAAATTAATAATTAAGAACACAAGCGCCAACAACAAAACACACTCAAACAAAAAATACAATGTTCCCCCAGATCAAAATTTGGGGTTCTTGCTCTCTATGGACACCCTGCGCAAGAACACACAAGAACACACTCACTCACCCACTCACTCACCCACTCACACACTCACTCACACACTCATCATCATCATCATCGTCATCGTCATCATCATCATCATCGTCATCATCACTCACGCATCCACCCACTCACTCACCCACATAGTCACTCACCTACTCACCCACTCCCTCACCCACTCATTCTCACCCACTCACTCACGCACTCACTCACCCAGTCACGAACTACCACCCACTCTCTCTCTCTCTCTCTCTCTCACTTTTTGGTATGCGGGGCGAGAGCGAACCTCTTCCGCTAAAAGCTAGGCGGGCTACGCGCAGTTTTAATCAGGGAGACAGGGCACAGGAAGGCGGGGCCTCAGGCGGCTGGAGCAGGTGGAGCCCGGGGCGGAGGCGGTGCCGAAGAGCTTGCACAGGAGAAGGTACGCCGCGGACGAGGACCGGGGGCGAAGACCCGGAAAGCGAAGGAAATGGTGTAGCCGTCAGCGGCACGTCGCGAACACCAGCCTCAAGCACTGCGGAGAAGGACGCGCCACTCGACCAGGTCGACGCCCAGGAGGGAGAAGAGAACCACGAAGGCGACGAGCAAAGTTGTGCCACTGGATGATGCGGAGGAGACCCAGGAAGAAGAAGAGCACCACGAAGGCGATGTGCAACGTTGTGCCACCGGTGAAGCGGAAGAGGCCCAGAGTGGTATTCCAATCCACGACCAGGTAGTAGCCAGCTTGAGGTGCGGCCACGGACGAGGGGGCCGCACATGACCGACAGGATGTCGGTGGAGTGCAGGAAAAAACAAGCCCTGCAACGTCAGCGGGTGGAGATGGGAAGCAGCCACACACGATGCGCTGACATCCGCATGCCGAGGGCCGGGCCTGAGCCGCGCAGCGCCATGGCGAGCGGGGCTGCCGAGGCGGCAAGGTGCAGCGCCCGGCACTGGGCCGAAGCCGCGCAGTGCTGGGCGCTGCCGCCATGGGAGGGGGGGAAGCGAGCGGGGGGGGGAAGAAGCGAACAAAGAGGAGAAAGGCCGGCGCGCCACGCCAGCCGTCGTCGTGCCAGCCCGCACCGCAGGTGCTCGCGTGGGGGGACAGGGCCCCGATGGGTACAGGTAGGACACACGGTCCGAGAACATGTTAAATACAAGTGAGAGGGATAAGGGGGGAGCAGGTACAGTCGGAGACCAGGTGGACCAGCAAGCGGTCGCTGTGCGCGGGCCGTGCTCGTCACAAGTGCTGCGGGGGTACAGGGAGGGGGGAAAAGGAGGACACACAGTCCCACGTCAGGTGAAGAGGGTGGTGGAAGGGGGCACAGGTGGTGGGGGTGGCCAGTGGTGGGTAGGACCTTGACCTCGCCGCAAGTTGTGGGAGCGTAGGAAGGGAGTCGTGTCGCGCAAGCAGGGGGACACACGGCCCCAAGCCAGTTAAAGAGGGAGGAGGAAGGGGGAACAGGTGGTGGGCTTGGCCAGCTGTGGTTAGGACCAGGACTTGGCGCACGTTGCTGGGAGCGTGGAATCGATCGCGTCGTGCTGCGTCAGTGGAGGGAGGCCTGGTCGCCGGCTGGTCAGCGCCTAGGGCGCTTTCCGGTCCAGTTGTCGTTGTATCCGGAGCTGCGTGCCTGGTCCTCCCCGCGCCCATCACCTTCGGCGACCTCTCTTTTCCTCTGGACGTCCTGGTACAGGGCCTTCTCCCGATCCCAGCCCACGTAGCCGCCAGTGTTGCGAGACCACGCCTCCACGTGATGGTTGCTGGTGTCCATGTCTTCCAGGAATTTGTCGAGGTTCGAAAGCGACCTGGTCTTTGGAGTTGCCCTTGCCCTGCTCCTTACACGTATGCCTGCACCACCAGTGCCAGCATGCGTTGAAGTGGTCTCCTCCTTCTGCCTGCAGCCTCTTCAGGTGGGTGACTGCTGTCTCGTATGGGCGGCGCTGCCAGCCGACGCGGAAGATTGTCCGCGGGCGGCTGGGGTCAGGGTGGCGGCGATCATCCCTGTGGTAAGAACTGCGCGGTTCTGGCTGGCGCCAGGGGGTGCTCCCTGTGCCACTGCCACTGTCGCGGTCCTGATCCCAGTAGCGTTCCCTGGTTCTGTACCAGTCGTTGGCGTCGTGCTTGCGCCACGGTGCCCCCGCTGCGCCCTTGTTGCGGTCGCGGTCGCGGTCGCGGTCGTGCTCCCCAGCACGGGTGCGGTCGCCAGTCTCTCTGGACGCGCGCCTCACCGCAGTCTCGTATGACTCCCAGGCGACTGGCTCCCGCGCCCTGCCGCGCAAGCGCCCTAGCTCGTGCGCAGGGAGGGGGTTGAGTGCTGGGCGTCTGTCTTCGGGGTCTTTGGACCTGGTCCGCGTGTGCAGCGCCCGATTGTCGGCAGCGGCCGCCAGGAGCGCGATCGGTTCTGTGGGTGCGCCGGCGGGCTGGGTTTGATAGGTACTGTTTGAGACGCGCTCGGGACTGCTGCGTGTTTCGTCACGAGGGCTCATCTTGGCTTGGCCCTCCTCGACTGCGTCGGAGTTTGAGGATGAGGAAACCACATGGACCGTGCTTAGGGCCTCTGCGAGGCTCAGCTTCTTCCCTCTCTCACACAAACACACCGTCATCAGCAACTTCATCATCATCATCCTCAGTCACTCACTCACTCAAACCCACACTTGAGGAAATACCAGGCTGGAGCCGCGTTTGTTGATGATTTGCGAGGAAGTCTCAGGTGGGAGCCCCCTCCCTATGGGGCCCGCAGTTCGCGTTTTTCATCCGAGGCGGGTCCTCGGAATCCGGCAACTATCGTCACTTTCAGGCTCCTGAGACCTGAACATGGAGGAAATATCAAGTGAGAGCCTCGTCTGTGAGTGAATCGCAAAGAAGTCTCAGGCGGGAGTTCCCTCCCTATGGGGCCCGCTCACGTTTTTCATCCGTGCAAATGTCGTCACTTTGGGGCTCCGGAGGCCTGAACTTGGAGGAAGTATCAGGCGAGAGCCTCGTCTGTGGGGCCCGCAGCTAATGTTTTTAATCCGAGGCAGGTCATCGGAATCCTGTACCTGTCATCACTTTTGGGCTCCTGGGGCTTGAATATGGGGGAAGTATCAGGCGGGAGCCTCGCTTATGAGTGGATTGCGAGGAAGTCTCAGGCGGGAGCTCCCCCCTACGGGGCCCGCACATCCCGTGCTTCCTTCGGGGATGGACAGACCTCGCTTTAATAAAACGTGGTTTAATAAAAACGACATGAGGCCCAAACCTGGCGGGCGCAAGCCTGGAAAATAACGGCCGCGGCGCTCTGGAGAACCGAAAACGGACAATTCACTAATCGACGTGTCACTGTTGGGGGTTCTGTCCACCCCCAATTTCTCCGGGTCGTCCTCCGGGTCGTCCTCCGGCGTGCGCTTCCTCTGGGTCGTCCTCCGGCGCGTATCTCTTGGGACGCACGTCGTGCTCTTCCTCTGGGTCGTGTTCCGCACGAACGGAGGAGGAGGAGGAGGAGGAGGAGGAGGAGGAGGAGAAGATGAGGAGGAGGCAGAGGGCGAGAAGGACGAGGAGGACAAGGAGGAAGAGGAGTGCCTTAGAAGGCCCCAGGATGTCCCAGGAGGCCCAGAAGGGTCCAGGAGGCCCCAAGAGGCCCCAGGAGGAGGCAAGACGAGGAGGGAGAGGAAGATGGAGACGAGGAGGAGTAGGCGGAGGAGGGAGAGGGAGAGGAGGAGGAGGAGGCAGGAGGAGGAAGAGGAGGAGGAGGAAGAGAAGGAGGGAGAGGAAAAAAAGGAAGAAGAGGACGCAGGAGGCAGGAGGCACAGGAGGAATGGGGTGAGTAGGCATAACGAGAAGGAGGAAAAGGAGAAGGAGGAGGTGGTGGAGGAGGCAAGGGTTGAGGCAGGAGGAGGAGCAGGCAGCAGGAGAAGGATGAGGCAGGAGTAGGTGGGGGAAGGGAGGGGGCAAGAGGAAATCCCAAGGAGTAAACAGACTCTCGTGCGGGGTCCTACAGTCGGAGTAATTTGACTACAGGCCCGACTTACCTCTGAGGCTGCTCCCCCGGCTGCCCCCCCCCCCTGAGGGAGCCTCGCTGCCGTCCGGGTTGACGAGCACGGCCTGTGCTCGTCCCGCGCGCGCGAGAGCCGGCGCGCCGGCCCCAGGCTGCAGCGCGAGGTGGACTGAGGGGCTCCCCAGGCGAGGGGCCCCCTCCTCCTCCTCCTCCTCCTCCTCCTCCTCCTCCTCCTCCTCCTCCTGGGCGGGGCCTCCTAGATGGGGTCGGGGTAGATGGGGTCGGAGGATCGCGCGGCATCGCCAAGGCATCGGCGATACATCGGCGATGTATCGCCGATGCATCGCCGACGTCGGCTGTGTATCGGTGACGCCGGCGTGGATCAAATCGGGCTCCGTACCGAGCCGCATCGCTGATGCATCGGCGATGCGGCGCGATCTCCGGCCCCATCTACCCCGACCCCATCTGAGAGGCCTACAGATACGGGGGGGGGACTGGCTCAGGGGGGGGGAACATCGACCTGGAACGGACAGCTCCAACGGATGGAACCAAAACCAAGCACTAATTGTTCGCCGGGTTCGGCCTCTGGCGGCCCTCGCCGGGCCCAGGGGCCGTCAAGAAACGGCTCGGAAGGAAAAGTCAGTGCCCTGGAGTGTGTCGAGAATTTTGGGGGCCCTGTTCTGAAAGAACCAAGCCATCGGATCTCTGGGGACTCGCTTAGGGGGGGGGGAGAGGCATCGCCGATGGATCGGGGGTAGGTCCCCGATAGTCGGCGACACGCAAAAGTGACCCTGTGTAAGAGTGACCTTTGGTGCGCGGCTTTTTGGGGGGCCGCGGGGCGACCAAACACAAGCCCGCAAGATGCCACTGTCGCATCGCGTTCGGCGATCGGGGGACACCATTGGGGCCCGCACCTTGGGTCACTCCGGCGAAGGGTCACTCTTACGTCTTAGTCGGGATAGTGGAATCGCACGTTCCTTGGCGAGGCGGGCTGTCAGGACCTCATCGGCGGTCCGCGGGGGTTTGGGCCTGGGCCCACCCCCGCCTGGCGCTGCCCCTGATCAGGAGGCAGATCCTGGAAGGTCTTCACGGGGCGAGGCGACGCGAGCGCGCGGTTCCGCCGGGAGCGGGGCCCTTTGGGGCCTGCGCGGGGGGGCCGGGGGCCCCAGTGCTTGTAGTCCTTGTTTGCCGAGGTCGGGGTGCGGAGTCATGAGCTGGTGGACGCTGGAGGCGAAGCGGTGCAGGTGGAAGTGGAGAGTCGGAAGCCGGATGCTGGAGTCGGACTGCTGGGTGGTCGGCAGGTGGAGGTGCAGATCGATTATGTCTGTATGATAGTGGCAGACATCATAACAAGGCGCGAGCTAAACAGCGTGTGCCGCTTTCGTGTTGTGTTCGTTTGCCCTCGTTCTGTCTTCGTTCCGCCCTTGCTGGAAAACGGCATCAAAACGGAAACGGTCCGCGAAATCGCCAAAACACCGTTTGGCTCGCACCCTGCATCAGAACACCAGGACCAGAAGCTTTCGGATGTCCGCTCGGATTCCTGAGGATCGGCGCTGGGACCCCCTCCCACTGGCGGAGCCTCCAGCACCACTCCTGGCGTGCTCCGCGAGCTGGGGAGGGGGTACAGTCGGGGCGTTGACCTAAGGAACGATAAATAAGGAACGAAGCCCCTGTCTTCCAAGGAGAAAAGCATAAAGAACGATAAATGATAAAAAAAAAACGCATAAGGAAGGATACGTAACGCATGCAAGCCTTAAGGAACGACCGAGCCCCTTTTGAAAAGTAAGTGTTCCTTACTCAAGCCGCTCACTGTAGGGGGGTCCAGCGCCGATTCAAACAAGCCACGCGGACCTCCGAGGATCTATGCCTACGCAAGTGTTTCTTTCTCGGTTGGCAGGACCAGGACGCCCTTCGACCCCGGACAGTCAGGCGCCGATGCCGGCTCACGCCTCCCAAGAGGCACAACAGAGGGCTCCTGCGAGGAGCGGCGTCGTGGGGGGCAAGCGGCGCCGTCGTCGCCGTCGCCGCCGTCCGGACTGGTGTCGGCGCTGTGGCCGACGTGACCGTTCGGGACGGGGAGCAGCACGGGAGGAGGAGGAGCAAGGATGAAGGAGGACCAGGCAGGAGGACGAGAAAGGGCGGAGGAGTGAGGAGGAGGAGGAGGAGGAGGCGGAGGAGGCGGAGGAGGAGGAGAAGGAGGAGGAGGAGGAAAAGAAGGTGAGGCGGCGGAGGATGGACGGGGATGGGGAGGAGAAGAACGTGTGTGGGGTATGCGATGCTGGTGGACAGAAGAAGGGAAGGGAGAACGATGAATCAGGCAGGGGGAACGTGAAGGGGGCGGAGCAGGGAAGAACGGGGCCAGGGGGCGAGTGAGAAACGCGGATGGGGGCGGGTGTCTCTGGAGTCGTTGTCTTAGACGAGGGAAGAGAGCGGGACGTAGGAGACAGGAATGTAGACACGAGGGAAGAGGAGAGAGGGAATACCAGAGCGGTGGCGCTTCTATCATTGCCACGGCCAGACGGCTCTCGGCTCTTGGGACTTGGCCAGGAAGTGTCAGAGCCCAACATGCCACAGGGAACGCCAGAACCAAGAACGATGGGAACCCTGCCGTCTTGGCCACACGTGTCAGCGATCGCTTTGTGACTCGGTCGCAAAGTTTGGCGGAGCGCGCGACGCAATGAAAGTCAGAGGGGACCATCACATAATGCATGTGCGTGTTGGCGAAAGAAGAATGCAATGCTGGACACAAATATAATACGCCTCTGCCCATGCAACGTATACAAACCATCAAACTCTGGGGGTCGTAAATCGAACGGGTGCCTCTGGCGACAGCCCGATGTTGACAACAACCCGCTCGCTATCTGTGCAGCTGACTTGCCAACTCTCGGTGGCCGGGTCACGCGCTCCCCAAATGACATCTCAGGCGAGAGCCCGAATTCGAAAGACGCCCGCCCTCCATCCGCGGCTGCGCTGGGCAAGCCAAACTACAAGACCATGCACACGAATATGATGGGCCTGTCTTCCACCACCACCACCACCAGAAGTTGGAGGGGGGAGGGGGTCCTCTTCCCCCATCTTCTTCTTCCTCCTCCTCCTCCTCCTCATCCTCCACCTCCCTCCCCCCTCCAACTTATGGCGGTGGCGGACCCAAGGGCTCCCAGCTTCGCACTTCGCGCTGCGCGAAGCGCGACGTGCGAATAACTTCGCGCTCTCGCGGGGTGGTCCTGGCGCTCCCGTGGAGCCGAACCGCGAAGCGCGAATGACTTCGCGCCTTCGAGGGCGCCCGTGCGGAACACGGGCCCATCAGACATGCACTCCCGGCGAGAGCGCCCCCCGGAAGATCAGCCGCCCTCCGTCCGTGCAGCGACCTGGTCTTCGAGCGACCGCAGCGGACGCACACTGCGAGCCGGGGCGTGCTGGCCGACACCCGGATCTCACGAGTCGCGCCAGGACCACCCCGCCGATGCGTCGGGCAATGGATTGCGGCTGTCGGATCCACTCATTACCAAACACCCCCCCCCCTCAAATACGCGGCCGAAATCAAAATCATTCCAAAATAATTCAAAAAACAAAAACTAAGAATTCTTTCAATCATTTTGGAATTACGTTGAGGGGCATGGAGCCATTATTCCATTGCCAATGGAGCAAGGAGGACCGATGGCTGAAACAAACGAGGGCGGGAGAGGGGGGCGGAAGGGGGGAGAGCACAGCGGGCCGAGAGAACGAGGCACCAACGAAGACCGAATTATCGAGGCGCCAGTGGGAAGGAAAAAGGAAGGGAGGCGAAGGCGAGGCGCAAGCGAGGCGAAGGGGAGACGGGGAATAGGCAGAGGAGGAAGCAGAACCTGAGGGCAAGACAACCACTGAAAATTGTCTTGCTTCGAGCGATCCCCAGCGAACCTGGGCCCGTGGAAACAATGTGCGCGTGGCCCGGTGGTGTCAGCCAGTGCGGCGGTCTGACCGGGTCGCAAGTTACCGTTCTCCTGAACTCTAACGGCCCCAGAGCCCCTGACAAAAGAAACCGAAACAAGCCCTGGGCGAAAAACTAACCTCCAGAACGCGAGGTGATAGACTCCAAAACATGTCCTGAACCTGGTAGCAAGACAACAAATGAAAAAACTGGATCGGAACGATGGCGGAGCAGCCCAACCAATATGAACACACGCTTACAGCCACGCTGGGTCACTTGGAAACCGTTGGGGGGGAATGGGCATGATGTCAACAGCAAACGCCCGCAACCGAGTTCAACAGCAACCGCTATTGTCGGCGACATCTTATCTCAAACAGACAACGCCCGCGCGACACCGACAACAAGTCCTGCTCAATGTGGACAGGAACTGCTGTCGGTCGTCATGCCCATTTCTTCCTTATTTCGATTCTACCGACGTTTGGCTTTGCGTAGGCTCACTCTGGCCGCCTTTGGGGCATCTTAGGCCGTTTGGGGGCTGCCGAAACATTTGATCATTGGCCTACTCCCCCGAACGTTTAGTTTAACTGGCGTTGCCCGTGCAGGAAGTGGCGCTGGTCCAAAGTGTTGCGACTGTGGATGACTTGAACGTAGAAAATGGAGCTGCTGATGCTGTTCCCGGTATGATTGAATGGTTGAGTTGCGTCTTGATGGGAATACGGTGCAGCAAATGCGAGGACCTTTGCCAATGCAACTTGAACTGTCAGGCTGAGGTTGATCAAGTGCGTCTGCAAATTGCCCTGCGGGCGTTGCTACGTGACCCCTTGGAAGCGGAGTATGGAAACCTGCGGAAACGGCAGCATGTCCTCGGTCAAGCCGCGGTTAGCCGCCGTCTTGGTCCCTCATCCTTCGGGACATCGTCTTGCCAATTCGAATATAAGGCCGTGTGAACCATGGGAGGCGGGTGTCTAACACCGCGCTGCTGCCGTGGTACATTGAAGAGTCGCAAAAATGGGAGGGCCGAAATCGAGGAACACCCGCTGGTGGAAAAACTCAGATCCTCCGAGGAGCAGCGGCCCCCAACATCAGCAGGTGCGACTTTCCAATCCGCGGCCACAGAGGCTCCGACCGCTTCCTCAGGGGCAGCTTTCGTCCCAGATCCATTATGGGAGTTCGGAGGTATGGGGTTCGCTGTTTTTTTTTACTACCCCAAGGGATCTCGAGAGGGCCCGCTGAGTTCCCATAGCCGCGGACACCACCAAAGCCACAATCCCTGCGGCTCCTTAGCCTGTGCCAAAGGCCGTGCGACGGGACACACAGCAAGGCTTAAACAGCCTTGCTCACTGCAGAGTACGTGCTGTGGCCTGACACCGGGGTAGGGACGCGGATGTGCTGCCACGGGAGGCGGGGCGCAAGATGGAGCAGCCGGCCCTCCCCCTCCCCTCCTACCCCTGCCTCGATCCTGTACCCCTCAGCCCGCCCTGCGTTTTCAGCCACGCAGGAGGAGGAGGAGGAGGAGGAGGAGGACGAGGAGGAGGACGAGGAGGAAGGAGGAGGAGGAAGGAGGAGGAGGGGGAGGGGGAGGAGGAGGAGGAGGAGGAGGAGGAGGAGGAGGAGGAGGAGGAGGAGGAGGAGGAGGAGGAGGGCAGAGGGAGAGGAGAGAAGGATCGGGGATGGGGGCAGGTCAGAAGAGGAGGAGATGCCAATGCCGCTACCCTTCCCTTGTCGCCACATCTAGATTCGCCTCGAAATCAGGGTCGAGACGCACCCCTGGTGATGTCCGGAGAGTAGCGGCATACATCGGCGTAGCATGTACCTTCTAGTCACCCGAGCAGAGAGGGAGAGAGAGAGAGAGAAGGAGTGAAGGAGTAGCGAAGGAGGGGTGGCCGGCTCAGGGAGGGAAACATCGACCTGGAATCGGAGATCCATCGTCCATCGCCGACGGGTCTGCGGTAGGCCCCCGATAGCACGCCCACACGTTCCTTGGGCTATCGGGCCGCTATGGGCGATGGATGTGCGACCGGGAGTCGATGCATTCCCCCCCTGTGCCTATCCCCCCTTGACGTTACCCCTGAGAGGGGCGGCCGGACGGGACGAGAGAGAAAGGAGGCGCAAATATTAACAAGCATTAGAAATACATTGAAATTGATGGGATGGGGAAACTGCAGGAACTATTTCAAAGTACTGGAAGTCATGATATTTGCGACGCAGGTTTTGCTTTGTCCCCCTGCGCCCCTTTAGAGGAGGGAGCGGGGGAGGAAACGGGGAGGGAGCCAGAAGGCGAGGGGGCGGCGGCGAAGGGGCGAAGGAGAGACGGGGGGCAAAAGGGAAGGGAAGGGGGGAGGGGAAGGGGGGAGGGAGAAAGAGGGGGAGAAGGTGTGGAAGGGGGAGGGAAGGGGGAGGGAAGGTGGAGGGGGGGGGAGGCCAGACGAACACAATTATCTGCTCTCCCGCCTCCCTCCTCCAAACCCTCTCCTCCTCCTCCCTCGTTCCTGACCCTCGCTCATGCTTACATATTCCTTCCCCCTCCCTCCTTCCTCCTGCACCTCCCTGCTCCTCCGCTCTGTTTCTCCTCCCCCATTATCCTCCTTTGCGACGGCGATGGAGAGGACGTTGACGGCAACGACGAAGAAGGCGACGATGACGATGACGACCCTACGCCCTGTCCCCAACGCCTCGGCCACGCCGCTGGCGACGATCATGAGGCGGCGATTGCGATCGTCGCCGGCCCGGCACACCTCGCGCCACGCCCCTGCCCTGTGGACCCGCTCAGCCCCTTGCCTTCGTCAGAAGAGAAAATAAATTCTGCGCAGACCTTGCCTCGTGTACACGTCGGTCGGAAGAAGTGGGTAGAAACATGAAGTTGGAAGGCGGATGGAGTAGATTGGGTTCAGGCACTTCCATCGAATCACAGAACGCAGCAAAAGCATGTCAGCTCCTGAAATAGGAAGGAAGGCGCTCGAAGTCGACAGGGATTTGGGGGAATCCAGCAATACCGACTCTTAACGACCGGCGTGCACGATAGGCACTCGAGACATCCGCGGCCAGCACGTCACGAGCGAGACATGCCCCCGACGAACTCGGGGGACGGGCGTGGGCCTCTTCGCCGCGGGCCCCAAGCCCCACGGGGGCACCCAGAACAAAGAGCCTCGCACGGCGACGCAGCACGCAGCCCGAAGAGCAGGGGGGCACCACGCCACTGCTAGGGCTCGGTCGGGCAGGTCCCCCTACAGGCGGATTGTGGACGGAGAATGGAAAATATACCAAACAGATTCCAAAATCGTCCCCGCAGTATTGTTCTACTATGTTTGTATACTCCTCCTGTAAAGGGGCACGTCTGAGTTAAAGCTGGGGTTGTTCTTGACCCTCGTGCCAGCCGCCCACACCTCCACATCGGACAACAGCGTGGGTAGTGTTGAAGCGGCGGTTTCCTCCTCCACCATGGTCGGGCGAAGCTCTGAGGCGAGGCGGTGCACCCCCGCGGATCTGAAGAATTACCAGGATTGACCTGTGCTCTGTCATATAAGAGAGACTGGTGGGCCACAGTTGTATGGCGGTGCCACCAGCGCCGCGATCGCGGCACTCCAGGCCCGCGCAGACTACGAGCGTAAACGTCGGACTGGGAGGTATTAAAGCACAACCATACTTGCCCACGGCTCGCAACGCAATCCGACAACTTTCGTCACACGTGGAGGGTTTGCAACCCACGCGCCCATGTCTGTGGGCAGATGGCCCAAAGCTTGGTTCAAAGTCTGAACTGCCGAATGGCAATCCTGCCGTCTGCCTCGAGCACAAGTACAGTAAAATCCCCATCGCCTTCTACTGGTCAGAACATCAAGCTGCATAGCACATGTCACCCAGCAAGGGCCCCAAACAGAAAGTGATTTGACGGTGGATGTGTAAACTATGCGGCGCAAGCTATACGGTGCCAGCTACGTGGTGCTGTTAAGTTATGTTCGACGTGATTCGTGCACTCCACTGCTCGCGCAATCATCCCACCCAACCACCTCGAATTTAGTTTGGAAAGCCCATGCGGCGTCGATTGCGATGAGTGCGCGGAGTTGGCTGGTGCATCTCTGTGGCCGCGTTAGCCCGCGCATGCTCGCGCGCGCAGCGGCCAGTTAGTTTGGCGCTACCGACGCGGCCGCGGTGGCGCTGACCGCTGGGCACTTCCCAGCGGGCACTTCAGAGCGAGTCGGCGACCTGGGCGGGCGCGGTATCATGGCAACGTCGACAATGGTAGGCGCGATGATGATGGTAGGGTAGCGATGCTGGCGACGCTAACGACAGCGACGGCGGCAAGGGCAGTGACGGCGCCTATGCTGATCACGCCGGCGACGATGACGGCGCCCTCGCGTCGGTGATGAAGGTTTCGGAGGGAGTTCGACATGCGCGCGACGCGCGAGTGGCCCGCATGGTTATACGTTACACGGATCGTGCCCCCCCCCAGCACGCGCGCAAGGACGTTCGAATGGTTTCAACGTGCGGCGCGGGAGGCCCGTTTGGCCGAATTTATTGAAAATGCGGGAAAAGCGATGAAGTCGCAGAAAAAGCGATGAAGTCGCGGGAGCGCGAGCGCACGCAGTTTTGAAAACTGATGTTGCAAAACATGTCCATATGGCTTCTGGGCACTCGATGTTGAAATCCATGCGACATCAAAGGCTTTTGAAGGATGTCGTCATGCGCGCGACGACGTGCGCGTGTGCACTTCATCCCGCTTTTAGCAAGGAATCCTTGCGACAGCACGCGCGCAAGGGCGTTCGAGCGATTCCGGCATGCGCGCGCGAGAACCCCGTTTGGCAACAAAGTGTACAAATGTTGAAAACCGATGGTTTCTTGAGAATTCGCAGGAGCGCGACGGCAAGCTTGTCTTGAAAACTGGTGTTGCAAAACCCTGTGTTTTTATATGATTTCGGGATATTCGATTTTGAATCCTTACGGAACCTCAAGTGCTTGAAGAATGTCGGCATGCGCTCGCGACGACGCGCGCGTATGATTTTCGTCTCATTTGTTGCAGCAGGTTCTTGAAAACTGAGGAAATGTTATAAGCGGGTGCGCGCGCATAGTATTCTGTCACAGGATGAGGGGGGGAAGCGTTACCAGCCTGCCTGGGATGGTACGAACTCAAATTTAGGATGGACGATGGGGCAGAATCATATGCAAATTGCGATACCAAACAGGGGGCGGTTAAATCCGAGGGGGGGGATCCGGATACTCTTGGAGAAAAAGAAGGATGCACGCTGTGCAAGCTGGAGGCAGCCAGCAACGGGGTGGCAACGGGCGGCAACGTGGCGGAACCTCGCAGGGTGGCGGGCGGCAGCGGGGCGAAGCCTCGCCAGACCCAGCTCTCACGAGGTGGCAACGAGGCGGCAACGGGCGGCAACATGGCGGAACCTCGCCGCAGCCACCCAGCGCGCGGGGCGGCAACGGGGCGGCAGCGGGCGGCAACGTGGCGAGAGCTCGCAGGACCGACCCAGCGCGCGAGGCGGCAACGAGGCGGCAACGACGCGGCAACACGGCGAAACCTGCACAGCGCACGAGGCGGCAACGAGGAGGCAACGGGCGGCGACGTGGCAAAAAATCACCCGGCCCACCCAACACACGGAGCGGCAACGCAGAGGCAACGGGCGGCCACGTGACAAAAACTCGCCGGACCCACCCAACAAACGAGGCGGCAACGAGGCGGAAACGGGCGACAACGTGGCGACACCTCGCAGGACCCACCCAACGCACGAGGCGGCAATGAGGCGGCAACTGGCGGCAACGTGGCGAAACATCGCCAGACCCATCCAATGCCTCAGGGGCACAAGTAAGAGCCCCTAAGTGCAAGCACTGTTTGGGGACAAACGAGTCAGCTGTCCGTGCGTCGAATGTGACGATCACGCACTGGTGTGGGCAGAAGCAAAGACTGACGAATGCGGCTATCTGTGTCTCTACTGCTTGATACCCTCTACGGTCGACCCTCGATTTGCTACTCCCAGCTCAGCGCCCTCCCCATACCCTCAACCCTCTGACCGTCCACTCTTTGTTACCGCCGGCGTGTCAGAGGCACGTTTGGAGGTGCGAGAATGCTCTTCGGCAGTGTTGCTCGGGGCGAAGCTCCCATTCGCCGCAACCATCCTCGAAAAAACGGCCCCCCTCTCTCCCGCCTCGAAAGACGGCCGGCCCAGCGAGCTCCCAAAGGCTCCAAGATGTCCCCGAGATGATCCAGGAAGGCGTACGTCAGGTTCGTGTCGTGCCGACTTCGGCGTTGATTTCTGACACCGCGGGGATCGTTCAACCTTGAACGATCGACTGTTTCCAAAACGTCCAAATCATTCCACATCGAACGATTCTGGGTCGCCCGCGGCGTTCAAAGTTGAACGCCGCTGGCGGGGTCGTCGCCAGTCGACACGACACGAACATACGATACTCCAAAATACGCACAAAAAGGCCTCCAGCGAGGCCCCAGGGGGCAACCGCCGTGGAAAAACCGGCACGAACAACCAGGGCTGAAGCTCATCCCCATCTCTAAGATGTACCAGCGCAACGGCTGTGATTACCTTAGGGATGCGCCCTCAGACGCTGAGGGAATCCTCAAGATCGGCATCGACACAAGGTGATGCCAATCATAGGGAATAGGGATCTGTTGCAGGCTGGTGCGGAAAGCTCCAGAGAGCCCCCCAAAAAAGACCCCAAGAGGGCCCAAAACTGCCCCAAGAGAGAGCCCTAAGAGTGTCTGAGAACACTCCAAGACGGCCTAGGCCCACGCGAGTTCAGGCCGCGCGCTGAACTTGCGAGGGTCTTAAGCTCACCCTGGGACCGCCCGAAGAAGGCTCAACGAGCCCCGACCGAGTTCAAGATCTCCTCAGGAAGCCCCAACAGGCCCCAAGAAGCCTGCAAGAGACGCTCCAAGAGGCCTCCAGCGAGGACAAAGAGGCGAAACCATTGAACAACCTGAGGGGGATTAGTGTTGTTAGATCAGGAGCCGGCGTGACTCTTAAACTGAGCATTCAACCTCTTTCACGCTGCGCTGCTGCGCTGGCACGGTGGCGTGGTCTGCCACAGGCAGCTGGACATTCCCTCTTCCCTAGAACCTAGAAGCCGGACTGGCCCCCGTCCAGTCCTGGGCGTGTTCATGTGCAAATGATACACTGCGGGCCATACGCAGCGCACTTCCACTCGCAGATGCAACAAAGCAGTCCCGCGGCCCATCAGGCCCTGGAAATCCCCCCTGCAAACAATATGATGCGGTGCGCATCCGTTGATATCGGTAATACGTGTTGTAACAAATTCCTTTTCAATTCGCCTGCCCAGTGGGCAAGAGTCGTGCTTCCTGTAAGAGCTCCACTCTGGTTCGCGCGCGCAGGGCGGTCCCTGGGGTCCACGGACGAAAAGTACCGCGCGAAGATTTCCAGAAAACATGAAACCCAGCCCTGAGACCAAGGGACGTCCATTGATTTTTGGTGTGGGAACGTCACGCTTCCCATAGCAAAACCATCGAAACCCAAGAAACCCAGGGCACCCTGGAGGCAAGCAGGGTGTTTATTGGCATGGGTTTCCACTGTATGCGATTTTCTTGTGAGCTTTTCCTTCGGTGCTCCCCTGGGCGCTCCAGGATATGCAGGGCGCTCCAGGAACCGGCCGAAGGGGGCTCCGTTGGCGATCCAAGACGGCCGATGATGGCCTCATGAAGGCGTCAGAGTTGTTCAAGAGCACTGCAATACAGCTCCCTCATCGTCACAAGCAGCCCAGGAGGATCCGAAGGGCGCTCCAAGAGGACACCAGTGGAGGCCCCAGGAGGAGAAAACGATTGAATTCCCGTTGGTTGTTTACGGATTCTCGATTTCTTGCTTCTTCGGACGTCCATCGGCTCCAGACAGCCAAAAAGGCCTTCAATATTGCCCAAAGCGACTTCAAGATGGCCCAATACGGGCCAAGAGGCCTGCAAGATCGCCCCAAGATATCCCAAGAGGCCTCCAAGACGGCCCAAGAGGGCCCAAGAGCCACTCAAGACTGCTCAAGAGGGCTCCACGAGGGGTCAAGAGGGAAAAACGATGGCACATTCCCAGCCCTCCGCCCCAAGACGACCACTGGGACTGCCGGCAAGCCCCAAGAAGACCCCAAGCGGCCCCAGGAGGCCCCCCCTGAGCCCCGCAGGAGGGCCCCAGGAGGCCCCAAGAAGCTACCCTAGAGGCCCCCAAGATCCGTCAAAGAGGCCCCCGAAGGTCACCCCAAGAGAAACTCACATGCATCCAAGAGGCCTCTGACCCAAAACCCAGGCACGGTGGCGTGACGCACCGAAGGCCTAGGTTAAGCGTTGCCCTCCATCGACCAAGCGACGGCTTCCACCAACGCGACGCGACATTCACACGACAACAAGTGAAAATGACCACAATTCAGCACCTTCCAGATCCCCGCCAACACACGGGCAAAAGACAACGACTCGACAACAGTCATGCAATATGGGCCGGCCGAGTGAGCAAAGCGCTTGGAATAGTTTCCTGCGGCCTACACGGGCGCACACACATGTCGATTCTGATCACAAAGCATGTGATCAAAACATTTCGCGCAGTATGAGCCTAACCACCGTCTTCCTGATTGTCTGCCAGGTCCCCTGCGCGTGCGAATTTCCACATTTTGGGGGTACCATAGCTGTATAGCAATTGTATCAACCCATCGACGGGTTGCTCGGTAACACGAGGTCTTCTGCGCACGACAATCCCGCTTCTCTTGGACGCGACAAGCAGAGCGCATTGCAGAAAGTCATACAGAATACCGCGCGGAACTACGGAGGAGCGCAGCTTTATGATTTGGTGCGTGGGTGGGCTTGATGCAACATCTCGGTAGCACCTCGCCCTTCCACTCACTTCTCGCTTCCCCAATGTTGACTCTCTGCGCGTTGCTCTTCTCGCTCAGATTTTGCACCGTGCACCCTGCACCATGCCCAGCAGAGTATACATCGTACTGCACACTGTGTACGCATCCTGCTCTCTTCACTCGATTCGCTCTGCTCGATCTGATGCGAACGCGTTCTCAACTCTCTCAGCTTTTTCCACTCCCTGTGCCCACTGCTCTGCGGCAGGAGGGATCTGGCCGCTCAATGAGTTCGGCGGGAAATCGCCACCAAGACCCTGCACGGGCGGCCCAGGAACCCAGACGCCCGCAGAAATCGGTGGAACACTTCTTGCAACACCCTTACACGCCCGACAACCCAGGACCCAGCACGGGGAAGCCAACAACTCGGGAATCCAGAGCCCGAGGTCGGGGACGATACACCCAGAAGTGGCAAACAGATAACCCAGGACCCATAAGGGGAAAACGGCCGAACACCGAAAATATCCACGACGGCCTCTGCAGTGCAAGGACAGCTTCGGGGAAGGGGTAGCAAACCCAACAGCAGCGTGTTCGACCGTCCCCCCTAAAATATCATCCGAGGAAGAGCGGTAGGACGTGCAGGAGGCGGGGGCTGGGGCATGGAGGGCGACCACGACGACGAGGCGTGCTGACTACCTACCCGACCACCCCCAACCCAGCCCGAAGACACGAATTTCGGTGGGGGGGGGCTAATGTTCCCCGACCCCCCCACACAATGGGAATGGACGGCAAATTGGGGCCTTCGGGTTGGGTTGGGATGGGCGGATGCTGCTGCTGGTGCGCCTCGGAGGGGCCGACCGCAGCTCCAAGTCACGATCCCGCCAAGCTGGGGAAACCAAAAGGTACCAGTGCCGCTGCTCTTCGGACCTCTCCCTGAGTGCGTTCTGTCCAAAATTTCGGGGCGAATCCAGCGGTGGCGACGAGGGCCCCACAGGAAGCCCCAAGAGGGCAAAAACGAGGGAACGGTAGCGGCATCAGTACAGAAGGAGCTCGACCACAAGAAACCTTTCCACTAGAAACCCAACCCTGAGACCCCAGGACGTCAATTGCTCTCTGGCATGGGAACGTCACGCTGTCCAATGGCAAAACCATCGAGGCCCAAGAGACACAGGGCACCCTGGAGGGTAGCAGGGTGTTCCTTGGCACGGATTTCCACTGTGATGCAGGAACAAAAAACGACGTAAAAAATAAACTGTAGGAGGTCTGCGCGGATTTCTTAGATCTGCGCTGGCCCCTCCCTGGCGCGCGGAGCGCGCCAGGAGCGGCACCTGAGACGCCGCCAGGGGGGTCCCAGCGCGGATCCAAGAAATAAGCGAGGAGCGCCAAAAGCTTATGATTCTGCCTTTTTTGTTTGTCCTCTTCGAAGGGTGTTCCTTGGCACGGGCTTCCACTGTAAGCACCTCTTCCTTACCTCACAAGTCGCGATGCCGCCAAGCAGCTCCCTCTGCGGGGTCTGGACCCTGCCAGCCGCCGCCCCACGGCGAAGGGCAGGGCCCCCCGCCTCGCGCCGGCGCTGCCCCGAGCGCTGTGGCCCAGCCCTCGCCCCGCCGACAGGAGGGGCAGGAACGGGTCGACGCAGGAAACCAGATCGGATCAGATCGCGCATCGAGTCGTAGAGGGAAAGGGAGCTATGCACACGCACCGATTCTGGCCCCCCGCCTCGCCTCCCCGAGCGCCGTGGCCCAGCCATCACCCTGCCGCAGCCTGCCGACAGGAGAGGCAGGAACAGGTCGAAGCAGGAAACCGGATCGGATCGGATCGTGCGTCGAGTCGTAGAGGAAAGGGGGCTATGCTTATGTTGCTCACATCGTCCTTGAGGGCCACATCCCAGAAATGATTTCGAGCACCCAGAAAAGTGCCGAAACAGTGTCGAAACAGTGTCGCCTCCCAGGGCCCGACACTAAAAAAAACAAGTTTCGGTACTTCCTTGGTGCTCGAAATTAGTTTTGGCTACCGAGGCTAAAGTAGGTTGGAACATCATAAAGCTATGCACATGCACCGATTCTGGCAAGGCCCGTCCTGAGCCCAGGATTGGCGCAGGCGCCCTCCTGCCTTGGCCAGGAAGGCATGAAACCGATCGGGGGCCGAGGCTGGGCCTGGCCAGGATCGGCACACGAGCACAGCTCGCTCTGCCCGACATCGGGCCGATCGGCAGAGAATCGAAACTGAATCGGATCGGCCGCGCCAAGATGCACACCGACGCCATGCAGGCATCGGGCCGCATCGGATAGCAGGAACATCGAGATCGAATCGGACCGAGCCAGGCGAGATCAATGTCGAATCGGATCGATCGGGTCGAAGTGGACCCTGAGGGGCCCGATGGGAAGACAGTGGAGGCTGTGGAGGACCAGGAGGACGAGGAGGACTTCAGGGCAACGGAACCACTTCAGATCCACTGCCCGAGGCCTGGCCCACGCTGGGCCCAGCAGCCGTGCATATGCATCCCTGGCCAAGCCAGGAGGGCGTCTACACCGCTCATCGGCTCAGGATGGGCCAGGGCTGGGCAGTGGATGTGTACAGATCCCACCGCCCTCAGAACGAGGCCGCGGCGGCCGAGAGCGCGGGAAGCAGGGCGTGGCGCGCGCGGCGTCGCCTCGCGGCTGCCCTCGCCCTGGCTGTACTCCACCGGCCGCAGCAGGCGAGAGATCGCCACCTGCGGGCGGGCGGGGAGGTCGGGGGCCAAGGTGGGGGCGGACGGCAGGCAGGAAGGGCACGACAGTCAGGACGCACAGGGACATACCAACACTATGCTGTGTGCCCTCCTTGGAGGCGCGCGCCCGACCTGAACATATAGCACACCCGTCTTGTGGCAGATCGTTTCCCGAGCGGTGTGGCCAGAGTGCCCGCCACGACGCATACACTATATAAGATTTCTCGGTGCGCGCGTCGCACACATAGTATTAGTATGTCTGAGTGACGCCGATGCTAGTCGGGAGGCCACTGCTGGAAGGCCTTCGTGAGAAAACGCTCGAGGGCGAAAGCCAGGCGTCTGTGACCCAGAGGCGAGGGGCAGGGTTCGGAAGCAGCTTCTGGGAGGTCTCCGTGATGACTACCTAGGGCTAGCAAGCCAGAATCGAGGGGCCTCTGAACCGGACTAGCCCAACTCAAGCCCAGAAGCGGGATGAAACTGGATTGAACGGGGTTTAGCAGAATCAAGCGGAACTATGCCAGAATCTGCCAATTGGACCACGGGTAGACTGGCCCCGATACTGAATTTGATCACCCAGGAGTAGTATCTGAAATGGTGAGGATGAGACGGAGGATGAGACAGCATGAGGAAGATCAGAAAGAACACGATGATGCCGATAAGGCAGAAAGGGTATGATCGGGGCAGGGTTGAAATAGACAAGAGGAGGCTGAAGGGAAGGTAGATGGAGGAAGGACAACGAAGAGGCACAATTCAACAAGATCAGGACGATGAGAAGGAATCACAAACGACTCGCGCGCGCAACAAGCATTTGATTACCAGGCCAAGCGCTACTCCGTGATAGCGACATGCAGTCTTACATCTCCCCTCACCTCCTCCAGAGGAGGGGGAAGAACAAGGAAGAGGCGGAGGCAGAACAGTGAGAGGACGGGGGGGCGAGGAAGGAGTGCGGGTGCGTAACTCAAAGTTCCTGGATGCCCACCTCAGCGCGGACGCGTCATCGGGGACGCCTGTCCCAGGAGGGCTGGAAAATGTGCACCCCTACAACCCTCAGGCGCCACGCCAGGGTACAGCGCCGTCCTGGTAGAAGGCTCCCCCACAGACGGCGGAAAAGCTTATGATCCCCCCCCCTCGCCCGACCCCCTCGGGCGCTCGCTAACATGGCTTACGGATCCGCAGATCTGGCGTGAGCGCGCAAGGTCCACGAGTCGGGGAGGGTGCCCCCGAAACAAGAGGCCGGTGCCGCCTGATCTGGCCACGGATCGCGCCGATCCCGCCTGGAAACGGGGCCCATCGCTCCCCCGCGCGGCTCGAGCCATGCGTGCGTGTCCTCGACCCTGTGCCTCCCCTTTCCCCTTCCCCCCTCCTGCCATCCCCCCCCGTCCGCCCCCGCCCCATCCACTACTCCCGGGGCCCATCCGAGGGTGCAATGAGACCAGGATTCGGAGGCGAATCCAGCCGTGGTGACGAGGGACGGGGGCATCAGGCGGTGTTCGGGAAGCATCAAGAGCATCGAATGGCGCGCCGCCGTGGGAAACGCATCAGCGCATGACTGCTGAAGGGGCACCACGCCTTCTGACAAAAAAAGAAGAAGTAACACGCCGGCGGCCTCCCAACGGCAGCGCGTGAGCGATGCCTCCCAGCCGATGCGTTCCCTGATCCTCGTCGGAGTTCGGGTCAGAGCTCGCGTCTCGGGCGGTCCTTCGGGACGATCTGGGCACCCCAAGGACGCCTCTCGGCGAGGCGGAGCTGCTGGCACATTTCGTGGCCCTATAGGGGTCTCCGCCGAGGGCCCCAATGACAGGTTCGCATGCGTACTCGGGTCCATTTCGGCACACCCCTCACACATTCGTGGCCCCGTAGGCAGCTTCACCGGAGGCTCCAGTACAAGGGTTCGCATGTGTACTCGGCTCCATTTCGGCACACCCCTCGCAGGTTTCGTGGCGCCTTAGGGCGCTCCACCGCGGGCTCCAGTTGCAAGGTTCGAGTGAGTCCTAGGGTCCATTTCGGCACTCCCCTCAAACGCTCCGTGGCCCCATAGGGAGCTCCACCGAAAGCTCCAGTGGCAGGGTTCGTATCCGAACCCGGGTCCATTTCGGCACACCCCTCAAACGTGTCGTGGCCACCTAGGGAGCTCCACCGAAGGCGCCAGTGGCAGGGTTCGCATGCGTCCTCGGGTCCATTCTGGCGCGCCCATCATACGCTTTGTGGCCCCTCAGAGAGCTCCGTCGAAGGCTCCCGTGGCAGGGCTCTCATGCGTACTCGGGCCCATTGCGGCACACTCCTCGAACGCCTCGCGGCCCCATAGGGAGCTCCACCGAGGGTGGCAGGGTTCGCATGCGTTGTCAGGTCCATGTTACCACATCCTTCACACATTTCGTGGCCCCATAGGGAGCTTCACCGAAGGCTCCAGTACAAGGGTTCGCATGTGTACTCGGCTCCATTTCGGCACACCACTCGCACGTTTCGTAGCTGTATATCGGGAGCTCTGCCGAGGGCCCTAGTGGCAGGGTTCGCGTGCGTACTCGGGTCCATTTCGGCACACCCATCACACGGTTCCTGGCCTCAGGGGGAGCCCCACCGAAGGCGTAGTGAGAGTACACGCGTGAATAGGGCGCGTGTAGTATTCCGTTTCTTTGCGAAGTGTTTAAAGGTATTGCATATCCCTCAGTATGTTCGCGTGCATTGAGCGCGTTTGCTAAGATTCGCATTGTGCTTACAGTGGGTTGGGTTCTTCGCCAAGCTATTTTTGTCCGCAGTGTGGTCCTCAAGAGGTCTTGAACCCCTTCGCGGGGACCAGCCCATTGGCAGTCCCAGGGCCCAGCAAGGGCCCCCAGAAGCCGAAAGCGGCCAAAAACCCTCTGTCGTGATTGTCTTCACGGCGTGAAGACGTCAGGTCCCCCCAATCCTCCGTCCCGCCCCCGAGATGAGGACAGCAGAACAACCTAAGATCTGTAAACTATAGGAAAAATAACTATGCACATACACCGATTCTGGCCAGGCCCATCCTGAGCCCAGGATCGGTGCATACGCCCTCCTACCGTGGCCAGGACAGCATATGCACCGATCCTGGGTCAAGGATGGGGCTTGCCAGGATCGGTGCATGTGCACAATTCTCTTCGCCCGACAAGATCTGTAAACGTAAACTCTCGGAGGTCCTGGTGGAGTTCCCCGATCGGCGCTGGACCCCCATCCCTGGTGCGCGGAGCGCGCCAGAGGGAGCACAGGAGGCGCCGCCAGGGGGATCCAGCGCCAATCCGAGAAGTCCGCATGGATCTCCAACAGTTTATGCTTACGCACATGTTAGGATACAACTCCTGGGAGGTGCTCGTGGAAACAACTAAGGGCTACGAAGCCCGATGACAAATATGCAAGATTAGCCCAGAGTATAGCCAAGGCTGCGCGGTATTAAGCCGGATCGATTTAGCGGAACTTGGCGAGATTGGGCCGGGCTAGGCTGGTGTTCGGTCGTGGAAATACAAGCGACCCGATGCTGAATCTAACCTGGCAGGAGCTGCCTTCTGGTAGAATGTTTTCTCGGGGGCGTCCTAGAGGGAGCGCGCAAGAGGGGGGGTCGCTCCAAGAGGCTCCCAAGAGGCCCCAGAACTCCTCCCCAGAGGTCTCCGAGAGACTTCTAAAGAGACCCTAAGAACCATCCCTGAGGACTCTAGCCCAGGTCAGCGTCGTCGTCGTTGCCGCCGCCGCCGCCGTTGTCATCGTCGTCGTCGTCGTCGTCGTCGTCGTCGTCGTCGTCTCCCTTCAGGGTCGGCGGCACCAGCCGTAAGGCCTTCGCAATATGATGTTTTCTCGGGGGCGCCCAAGAGGGGGGCGTGCAAGAGGGGGGGGTCGCAAATCAGAGCCCGAGGCATCTGCGCGGACGAAGTGGGCGGGGGGGCAGGGGACGTGTAGAAAGAAGAAGAAGGAGTAAGACGAAGAGGGGCCATGAAATCTGGGGCGATGTCATGGCCTCGGCCATGATCTCCCCCCCCAGTCCAAGAGATCCGATGTCTTGTTTGCGCAACCCCCGCGCGTGCCGGGTCCCCGTTTTGAATTCGCAGCTCCCCGCGCCTCACCGTGTCTCCCCTCCTCCTCTCCGCTTCCACTTCACTCTTACCACCACTTCTTCATCCACGTCTAATCTCTTCCCATCACCAACACCACCATCACGATCATCACCGCCACCATCGTCATCATCAGCATCATCATCACCACCATCATCTTCATCATCACCACCACCACCACCACCATCATCATCATCATCAAACTCAGCATCGTCATCATACTCATCATCATCATCATCATCATCATCGTCACCACCACCATCATCATCATCATCATCATCATCATCACCATCGTCGTCATCAGCAGCAGCATCGTCATTAACATCATCATCATCATCAACAGCAGCAGCATCATCAGCATAGCAGTACTATCAGTGTTATTGTTACGACTAGCATTTACATTCGTAGTGTTAGTATTCGCATTCGCATTCGTATGATTATTATTCAGACTATCAACCGTATTCTTATGAGTTGTATTACTACACATCGTACCCTTGCACTTAGGACTATTAATTTTATTATTTCCTCATGCTCATCAATGCGGAGAGCGCCCCCCTCACACGCTTCGCAATGGCCTGGTAGGGAGCTCCGTCGAAGGCCCGGTTCGCATGCGTACTCGTGTCCATTCAAGCGCACCCTTCACACATTTCGCGTCCCCAACAGAGACTCCACCGAAGGCTCTAGTGGCAGGGTTCGCATGCCTACTCGGGTGCATTTCGGCACACCCCTCATGTGATTGTGGGATCATAGGGAGCTCCACCGAGCGCCCCAATGGCAGGGTTCGCATGTGTATCCGGGTCCATTTCGGCACACCCCTCACATGTTTCGTTGCCCCATAGGGAACTCCGCCGAGCGCACCAATGACAGGGTTCGCATGTGTACTCGGGTGCAGTTTGGCACACCCCTCACATGTTTCGTGGCCCCAAAGGGAGCTCCATCGAAGGCCTTAGTGGCAGGGTTCGCATGAGTACTCGGGTCCATGTTGGCACACCCCAGGCGTGCATCGTGGCCCCATGGGTAGCTCAACCGAGCGCCTCAATGGAAGGGTTCGCATGTGTACTCGGGTCCATTCCAGCACACCTCTCACAGGTTTCGTGGCCCCATAGGGGAGCTCCACCGAAGGCCCCACTGGCAGGGAGCGCGCGGTTACTCAGTATGTTCATGCCATTTTTTGAAGGCATCCGGGCTGGCCGAAAACCTGTAGAGACCGAAAATGGCGACCACCTCTGTCTTGATATGAACCAGGAAAATATCACCACCACCACCACCAGGGTCCATCAGCTGGACGAGCCAGAGGGGGGGCCCTTGGTGATGTGGTCCCCCCTTGTCGCTCGAGAGACCCACCATCCCCATCTTTGGGAAGCATCGTGGACCTCCTCCCTGGAGGTGGCCTCCCTGGTGGTGGTGGTGGTGGTGGTGGTGGTGGTGGTGGTGGTGGTGGTGGTGGTGGTGGTGGTGGCGGTGGTGGCGCTTCTCCTTCCCCCGATCTTGCTTTTGTTCCATGCTCGGCGGCGCGCAGAAGGGTGTAAGGGGGAGGGGGGAGGGCTTCTTGGAGGCATTCCCCCCCCCTCCCCCATACCTTCCGTCTGCGCGTGGCCGACAAACGTTGGATCTCTGGGATCCTCACCCCCCTGTGGGCCGCAGGAGGGTGACCGTAAGGCAGGAGGAGGAGGAGGAGGAGGAGGAGGAGGAGGAGGAAAAGGAGGAGGAGGAGGAGGAAAAGGAGGAGGGAGGAGGAGGAGGAGGAGGAGGAGGAGGAGGAGTGAGGACCCCAGGTTCGTCGTCGTCGTCGTCGTTGGGGTTCTGCCTCGACAGCGGGGGGGGGCGGCCGGCGCGCCGACCTGGAGGCGCATGGAGCAGCCGCTCAGCACCTTGCAGTACCTCGAGAGGCCCCTCCTCCTCCTCCTCCTCCTCCCCCTCCTCCCTCCTCCTCCTCCTCCTCCTCCTCCTCCTCCTCCTCCTCCTCCTCCTCCTCCTCCTCCTCCGCCTCCTCCCCCCCCTCCAACATATGGTGGGGCGGCGCGGGCCGCCCAGCGGGGCTCCTGTGCTGCCGCCCTCGGGAGGGCTCCTGTTCGAGCAGAGGGGCAACGAACGACACACAGATTACCAGCCTCGAACTTATCCCTATTCCCCAAGATTGACACGCCGAGAGGCGATGACAATCTTGGGGATGCGCCCTCAAACAATAAGGGAATCCCTAAGATTGGCATCGTGATGAGGAGATGCCCAGCAAATGGGATAGGGATATGCTCCAGGCTGGCAAACAGTGGTGACCATGATGACGACGATGACGATCGTCGTCATCATCGTCATCGTGCTCGTGAGGCCCGCGCAGATATCTCGGATCGGCGCTGGAGGTCCGCGCGGATTGCTTGGATCTGAACCACATGACAGGCGGTCGGGAACTTTTGCTGAGCGTGTCGCGGCGGCGGCCTTGGCGACACGCTGTGCCTTGCGAGCGTGTCGCTCCGCTCCAGGGGGCGGGAGGACGGGAAAAACTCAGGACGTTGACGCCTGGAGACCGCGAAATGGGCTGCATATCGCGCCGAAGCGCGGTGGGCCAGAACCTGCGGCGCGACACGCTTTTCAAAGGTTCCCGACCGTGAACTGTGTGAGGTCCGCGCGGATTTCTTGGATCGGCGCTGGACCCCCCCCCCCTCCCCGCGCGGCGCGCTCCTCGCGCCAGGGGCGGCGGCGGAAGCGCCGCCAGAGGGCTCCAGCGCCGATCCGACAGCGAATGCGCATGTGATGCTCTGCTCCCCGATCGCGAGCGCCTGGCGGCCAGGCGCTGGCCAGGCCCTGGCCGCTGCCCTGGTGGGAAGGCACCAACTATACACCAACACCGATCCTGGCCAGGATTACCCTGGGCCCAGGATCGGTGTATACGCCCTCCTGCCTTGGGCAAGAAGGCATATACACCGATCCTGGGCCCAGGGTGATCCTGGGCCAGGATCGGTGTTGGTGTATAGTTGGTGCCCTCCGACCTGGAGCCCAGGGGCCCCGGGCGGGCAGCAGCCGCACCGAAGCGCGCCATCCGATCGGATATGGCCACCGGATCGTCCCGCATCGCATATCGGCATCGGATCGCCGCGCCCGGCTCCGGCTGGCACTGGCTGGCGCCAGGAAGCAGAACCGCATCGACACGAAGCGGAATCGCGGCCTCAGCCGGCGAGTCGAATCGTGTTGAGTCAGATCGTTCGCAATTTGGCGGCCCTCGGGGGTCTTCTGGAGCCGTCGGTGAGTCCCGGGTCGGGTGCAACGAAGACGGGGGGGCGTCACCCCGACATCCTCGCGCCGCATGTTAAGATCAAGGCGATTTGCTCTGGGCCGTTTCTGGCCTCCAGGGGCCCTTGCCGGACCCTGGGACCGTCAAAAAGCTGCTGAGGATGAGGGGCTGGTCCCCAGGAAGAAGTCCAGACCTCTGCGAGGCCCAAATGCAAAATCACCCTGCGACGTACCCAACCCATCGGCACCAAGGGATGATAAAAGGTGTGCCGACGATTATGCGACAGCAACACTGCAAGAGACGGTGCACGGCGGATATCTATGGCGCGCGAAGTGTGCGTGGCCGACTCGAAGAACAGAGGTACAAAAGGCAAGGAGGCATTGCACTGGGAAGGAGAAGCAAAAGGAAGACATCAGGGTGGAAGAGCAATCACCTCGGCACGGCAGAAGCAGCGAGATGATGGCGAGGTCTTTGGGGGATCTGCGTGGGACCCCACTGTGAGTGATGCCCCCCCCTGCAGCTCTCGGAAGTGGGGACAGTTTCACACCTTGGAAGCCACCCAGGCATGGCGAGGTCCCCGTTGGATCTGCGTGGGACCCCACTGTGCTGGCCCACCCAGCAGCCATCGAAGGTGGCGACGGCTTCACACCTCGCAGCCCACCAGGCATGGCGAGGTTCCGTTTGGGTCTGCATGGGATCCCACTGTGCTGGCCCCCCCAGCAGCCCTCGAAAGTCGCGAGAGTTTCACACTTCGCGGCCCCTCATGCATTGCGAAGTCCTGTTTGGGTCTGCGTGGGACCCCACTGTGCTGGCCCCCCCAGCAGCCCTCGAAAGTGGCAATAGTTTCACACTTCGCAGCCCACCAGGCATGGCGAGGTCCTGTTTGGGCCTGCATGGGATCCCACTGTGCTGGCCCACCAAGCAGCCCTCGAAAGTGGCAACAGTTTTACACTTCGCGGCCCCCCAAGGATGGCAGGGTCCCGTTTGAGTCTGCGTGAGACCTACCGTGCTGGCTCCCCAGCAGCCCTCCAAAGTGTCGACAAATTCACCTTCGAAGCCACCCAGGCATGGCGAGGTCCCGCTTGGGTCTGCGTGGGGCCCCAGTGGCCCCGCCGAAGCCCTCGAAAGCGGCTACAATTTCACACTTCGCAGCCCCCCAGGGATGGCGAGGTCCCATTTGGGTCTGCGTGGGACCCCACTGTGTTGGCCCCCCCCGCAGCCCTCGAAAGTGACGACGGCTTCACACCTCGCAGCCCCCCAGGGATGGCGAGGTCCAGTTTGGGTCTGCGTGGGGCCCCACTGTGCTGGCCCCCCCGCAGCCCTCGAAAGTGGCGAGAGTTTCACACCTCGCAGCCCCCCAGGGATGGCGAGGTCCAGTTTGGGTCTGCGTGGGGCCCCACTGTGCTGGCCCCCCCGCAGCCCTCGAAAGTGGCGAGAGTTTCACACCTCGCAGCCCCCCAGGGATGGCGAGGTCCAGTTTGGGTCTGCGTGGGGCCCCACTGTGCTGGCCCCCCCGCAGCCCTCGAAAGTGGCGAGAGTTTCACACCTCGCAGCCCCCCAGGGATGGCGAGGTCCAGTTTGGGTCTGCGTGGGGCCCCACTGTGCTGGCCCCCCCGCAGCCCTCGAAAGTGGCGAGAGTTTCACACCTCGCAGCCCCCCAGGGATGGCGAGGTCCAGTTTGGGTCTGCGTGGGGCCCCACTGTGCTGGCCCCCCCGCAGCCCTCGAAAGT